TGATCTGCTCTGAACTAAATGAAATCGTTCAATTTATTGATTCTAAGGTCAAGGCCCATCTTAATCATGTCAGGCCCTTACGATCAAATCAAATTGCTCCATTTTAAACATTCATTGATTCAAGAAAAGTACCTGATGATGACTTAGTTTGTAATAGCTTGACATGGTGAAGACGAAATAGGACTTATTTTTTAATCTGGGCCATGCTACACTGAATAGCATACTTGCATAGTTGAATTGCACTGACGTAACTGAAATAGTTTTGTATTCATTTTGCTTTAATAATGTTATAAATGTTTGATATAATAGTTTATTGATAAAATATTTAAGTAACAGCTGTTAGCTAAAATCATAACTACCAAGGTAATAGTTCAATATTGATAATATTTGAATTAACGAGTTTCAAAATAACTAAGGCTGCTTGTAATGTAATTTCTCTCTGTATAGATATTTTTGTTAAGCTTTGACAACATTTGCATTTTCCATCAATACCAATCCTTGTAAGATTGATTTGGTATGAAACATGTTTGCTTTTAACTTTTTCATGCCTAGCTACTAACAATAGTTGTTCTTTCAGACTCTATATAGATGATAATAAAAACTGTTTTGAGGCCAACACAGCCACTTCCTAATCTATTTTTGATAAAAAAAAATATTTTGCTATAATTGCAGATAGCTGACAATAAATTATATATTACTATGGTAGAAGCAGTTCTACGAACAGAAAGTTATTATTTCTCTTCAACATATGATTTAACACATTCAGCCCAACGTTTAGCAAACACTAGTACAGATTTTACTTCTATGGGTTTATTAGAAAGGGTAGGTGTCAATAGATTCTAGATTTTCACTCCATATATTAGATTTGAGCTCTTGAGTCCCAAGTCAACTACAATTGCAAAAAGTAATGTGGTGTTGTTAACAAAGCAAAGCATGCTCACCTTTTCTGTCTGAACATCTAATACTTTTTTATGTCTGAGTGAGTCAACTAAGCACTCCTTTCAGTTAGTTATAAATACACTATTATTGCCCTGTAGGTTAAAGAATTATCACACAATCTCAAGATGATTAAAAATTAGACTGATAACTAATAAGAAAGTAAACTATCAATTTCTTGACTTTTAAAGGGTTTTACCTATATCTATAGATCATCAAGATAAAATGTCTATTTGTTTTGCAGGCAGATCAAAGATTTGTGTGGAATGGACATGTTTTAAGAGAGTTCAGTCAACAACCAGAGTTATCGAAATATAGTCTACCAATTTTACATGGCTGTATCCTTTTAATTCAGCTTGCTTGACTAATGGTCTTGTACTGGAGCTACATCATGTTGATAGATGATAAAATATGGATATATGAAGGTTTGGTTTTAGATCTGATTGCCACATTTTGTGATAGATATGATAATAATCATTAATAGGCTTTTATTAGTTTGAATCTTTTAGCCAAAAAGTTATAACAAAACAAGATGGAATTAAGTTTAAAACTCAAAAAGTTTTGAAAATATAGTCATTTTGGCAAATTGTGAACTATGAAGATTTAAAAGCAAGCATTTTAACAAGGCTTCTAAAAAAAATATAAAGCTGTTTAATTTTGAAAAATATTGCAACAGTGCATAATAAGAAATATCACTTTACAATTCTTATTGTAAATCAATGATAATAATTTAGCCTTAACCAGAATATAAGTTATATGTATACAGTCTAATACAGTGAATAATAAACAGTTTGAGTATATAGTGATATCTAGACGCTGTGTATATAGAGCTGGTACTAGGTTTTATATGAGAGGATTAGATCAACAAGGACAAGTAGCTAACTTTGTAGAAACTGAACAATTAGTTTTATATGAAGGACAGAAATGCTCTTTGGTTCAGGTAATTTTATACTTATTATTATACTCTGTAAATTTAATTAATACTTTTGGCTTGATCATTGTCGTAACCACAATTAATTTGATGGCTGTATTTTACTGAGAGTGTGGCTTTTATATTTTGACAGCCAGAAACCAACCTAGTATTGTTACCCCCTATTTGTTGATTGTAACTTGTTAGAATTCATCCCTATCATTGTTCTTAAGAATAATGTTAATTATATTTTACAGACCAGGGGATCAATACCATTATTTTGGTATCAAAGACCAAATTTAAAAAGAATGCCATTACCTTTAATTAGTTCATTATATAATCATGTAAGTCTATTTGTTATTCTTCATGTTTCATAGGCTGTGTATGTATAGTATCTTTGACTTTTGATAATCAAAGGAGAATAGTTTAATGTGATTGTCTATGGATATCTTCCTCATTACACTGTGAATTAGATTGTTATGTTTTTCCCAATAGTGTGCAGAAAAGCAGGACATAACACTTCATATCATTTTTAATCATCATCTGATTTTTTTCACAAAGGGATTTAAATAAACTATATTGATAATAAAAAAACAGTTTAAATTGAATTTATAATATTTCAGATGGATGGATTTAAACGTCATTTTGATGATCAAGTCTACAACTATGGTAAACAAGTTATTATTAATTTAGTAAGTTTTTAACTTCTTCAGTGTATTTCACTCACATATTTTTTTTATATAAATATCTGCTAGTAGGGACATTTCTTTTACCAAACTTAGGTGGTTGTTTGAATTTGGAACAAAGCATTGTGATGATAAAGTTTTGAAAATCTGACTATTATTTTATCAGTTTTTAGCAAATGAGGTTCATTAATCCAGGAATACCCTAACAAATGAAAAATGAAGAATCATTTTACAATATTAAATTGATATCTGTTTACTAAAGGATTCTTGTTATTTTGGCTTGTATAGTTCAATTGATATAGTCTGAGATATCTTAATGTGTTATATTGTGCATTAATAGAATATTTTCACTGTTAAAATAGTGCTCAATACATCAGCTGTAGAACCATATAGAAATATTAAAATAGAACCTAAAAATAAATTACTCAGAGTTTCACGCTGTGCAATCTTAAGACAAGTGACAATAACAGTCTGCGTATATCTACACTTCGAGACGAATTCGGAATGTTTGTTTTAAAAAGTGTTCTTGGGGGCATTAATGAGGGAAAGCTTTTTGATTAGACACACGTTACATCGTTATATTGTATGTTTATTTATATTGTGTGCCCAGTGGTTTTATTATATATGAATCTATGTTACAGGTAAATCAGACAGGTTATGAACATTTAATGGAGAAAGCTTTATCACAGACAATTTTAAACTCACAAAATCTCAATATCAGGTATAGATTATAATAATATTTATTAATTTTTGAAAATAAATGTTGTGCTTTCATGGTATGAAGCTGTCAAATTATTGGCTTTATCAGCTTTCAGAACTTTAGTTCATCCATTATCAGATAAAAGTAAACTGTTTTAACTACCAAACTTTATCACAGACATAATTATCTTTCTGAAACAGGATAAATTCAGATTTTTAGTTTGTTTTGGTCCAGTTTTATATGATTATAGAAACACCTGAAGTCCGATTTGCATTCTGGAAATTGTTACATGTAGCTATACTCTATCATCATAAATCCTTTCCAAACACCTGATATTGACAATCAACTCATGCTAGGTTTTCAATACATGATTAGAGATTTCGGACTTTTCTCCTAGGTATGAACCGTTTGACTTTCACCAGATGTGTAAAAAGATGAGATGGGATAGGTTGTCAATATTAATCAATAATTTAGAAAATGATAGAAGACAGTTTGGGTAAGTTAGTTAAAAATGAATGTAGAGTGTTGTACTTGAGATCAATGTATTTTTGTTTGAGATGGGCTTTTCGAAATAGGGATCTTTTAGAACCAACTGTACATTTTTTAAACTATAGAAATATGTAAAATTTGTAAATTTGCTTTTATAGATCAAGGATTAAGGAATCAATATTTTATATCCTACTTTTTCTCCCCTTAATTTGGCTAATCAATCAAGTCCGGCTTTGTGTAGTCACCAGTAAAGCAGCTCTGTTTGGGACATCTTGACCTTATAAATGACCATATCAAATCTTGCTGAATGTTAAATCCAGATTGTAGTACACTTCAAATGTATCTTGTTTATAAGTCAAATATGTTGAGGCATGTACAATGCAGTAATCAGTAAATGCTTATTCTAGGATGATCCAATATGGCTCTAGGGCTTCATTTTTGGTCGTACATATTACATTTTTGACAAGGCACATGGCAGTTTTCAATTCCAGTTTTTGATCTTGCAATTATCTCTTTTTTTAGTTATTTTATGCAGAATAAAGATGGTAAAGTAATAAGTCAACAGAATGGTGTATTTCGTACTAACTGTATGGATTGTTTAGATAGAACTAATGTAGTACAGAGTATGATAGCTCGTGAAACATTACAAGAACAGTTACAGGTTTGTTCTACATAGTTCATAAATTCAACATTGGTGTCTCATATTAAGGGTCAGATTTATCTAACGGCTTGTGGTGATTCAAAATATCTTTATGCAGTTCGTATTTTCAATATTAGTGTTATCTATAGACTTTGTGCATATTCAAAAATACCTTTATCAAGTATATTCCCTTTTAAAGCCAAATTTCCCGTATGGTTTTATCTGTGCCAAAAATGGAAGCTAAAAATTTCAGTTTTAGAAGTTTCAACTTAAACATGGGAAAGAGATAGCACTGTGATTTTCCAAACATTTACCACTATCAGCTAGCAAATCAAATGATTAATTGCTGTATTCCTGTTTGCTTTGATTATTTAAACACCTGGCCCGAGTTACCTGGGCCACATTTTTCAAAAATTTGTATGATTGAACTGACAAGTTCAGTGAAGAAAACTGTTAGTTTTGGCATTATCAAATTGTTAATTTATCAACTTTATGCTCTAACGTTAGTCTACGATATTTTGAAAAACAGGGTTCTGGGAAAAAGGTTGAAAGACTTAATTTATTTCTAATATTTGTTACAGAGATTAGGTATACTAGAAGTTGGTAGTAAGATAGAAATAGGTAGCAATCTGGATATCAATCTAAAAAATTGTAAGTATTGAGATTAAAACTAAATCCATCCCTGGTAAATAAATATCTGTATCTGCCACTTAAGGATGTTTGTTTCCAAGAAATTGTCAAATTTTGAAAATTATTAAGGGGGGATTTTTTCCAATTAATGAAAGGTAAGGGTTATAAAACAAAATCTGTTCTGATTTGAAACTAATAGAAAATCCAAGGATCTAAATCTGTAAGATTCTATCTGACATTGTTGAGAATAAAGTTTGCTATATTTTGTATTATATTTTGTAGTATGGGCTGACCATGCTGATACTATATCTAAACAATACGCTGGTACTGGGGCTTTAAAAACAGACTTTACAAGGTATGTATGTGTTCAATTAACAGGGTTTGTGTTTCTTAATTCATGGATCGTTCAAATGACTTGTATTTTAAAAGTATAAAAAGTATATCTAACACGCATTGATATAGTATGCTTGCAAAGTTCAAGAAGAAATGAATTTGAAATTTGGAAATGACTGGATATTGGAAACGTTAAAGTAGCAGTTATTATTTAATTTTTTTTGTTTGTTCAAATGACGTTTAAATAAAATAGTACTGGACTTATTTATATATTTTATACTAGCATCTAGCTGTACGTTTGAATAAATTTGTTTGATTTTGTAGAACGGGTAAAAGAACTAAAATGGGATTAGTTATGGATGGTTGGAATACAGCTGTTCGATATTTTAAAAATAATTTTACTGATGGATTTAGACAAGTAAGTGTTTTACTTTTGCTTTAAAAGTGTAAAATGTTAGAGAAAGTGTGTTATTTTATTATTTGTGATGCCAAATGAAATACAGTCTGAAATTAGATAATATATAAAAGTGCTAGGTTGCCAATATTTTTGTATATTTGATATTAAGTATATATATATATATATATATATATATATATTATATTGGACAATTTTCTATTTAAATTAGTACTTGACCACAGGAAATGTTTAAAATATTAAAACTAAATGGTTTTTAGTTAATATGTTCTGTGAGATTTCATATCTCACAATAAGCTAGCTTAACTGGCTAAATTTCATATATACTTATATTTTATCTAAGGATGCAATAGATCTATTCCTGGGTAATTATGTAGTAGAAGAAAATGAAGGTATTACTCTTCCCTCACCATTTAGATTAGAAAGAGATTGGAAAGTTATTTCAGTAAGTTTTTTTAATATTATATTTAATTGTTTCTCTCCATAGAGGGGATTTAATTTACTCTGAATCAACTTTGTTAGCTTCAACTTCTACACTATATTTCAACAGTCACTGAATATATAGTTCTGTTTTTGAGCTTAAGAGTTCATGTATCCTATAAGTTTTTCAGGAATGTTCCCATGGACTGAATGTTGGACAGAACCATATCATTTTGTAAATAAAGAATCTACTATTATCATTTATTTGTCATAATGCTAATGAAAGATTGAAAGGTGCCATTCAGATATGAATTGGAAACTAATTAAATTTGTAAACTTGAGAAATGGTGTCATTTTAAAGAACTTAGTAGAAAAGTAGTAGATGCCTGTAACATTGTATTATTTATCTTACAGTTACCAATCATCTGTTTAGTAGCACTGGCCATGTGTTTAATTTGTATTCTACTTCCTAGTGGTAAGTTTCTTCAATTTCAAATTACCATTATTATTTATTCAGTTCACAGTATAACATAGATATCTACTGGTCTGTTTAACTTTAACTTTAAATGGAATAACCAATAATTGGTTTACGCTGTTTATAAGACATATAGAAATAGGCGTAAGTAAAGAAGCACAAGATATATGGATATACTTTTTCTGACATTTATTAAATTTTCTTTAATAACATTGATTTAATGAGCATGTGAAACATAAGAGTTTATAACTGTCAATGGTAGTGTATCCATATATCTTGTGCATCTTTAATAATTGGTTAATCTGTTAATATTATTCTTGTATTTTTTCTTTCAGAGCATTTTAGTGAACAAGTGATGTATCTGGCATTTTGGGGAGGTTTTGCTTTCATCTCTTTAGCAGCCATGTATATTTATGGACAAGAATTTGTTGATTTACCAAGACTTGCTCAATCCAAAGTCAAAGCCGAATAGACATGTTTTATTGGGAATAGTTGCTTAATGAACAGTATACAAATACTCTGACTGCCATATTTAGTTGAAGGTCAAGAGTGAAAACACAGCAAATTTATTGAAAAAATCTCTACAGTGTGTAGCAATGTATGTTGTATGTTTTAATGAAGGTGTATACCAGGATGTATCTATCAAAGACTTTTAAAAATTTCCTTTATTTATTAACTAACTGTTTATAATTACAGTAACAGTTCATTGTTTAAATAGCTACTAAGTAGCTCTGTGTTGTGATCATGACCAGTAGAAAACACAGTGGAACTTCAAAAGTATGCAAAAAAATAAAAGATTTGGTACATTTATTAGAGAATATAGTTAAAAATTCAAAAAAAAGAAAACTAAGAAACCCCAAAACTTCAGTTGGAAATTCTTATAGTTGTAAACCTTCTTCTTTGTTTTTTTTTTACTTTGTTGATTTTTCCTAAATTTCTAATGGATTATTCACTTTTTGAAATTTATGCCTGAAATACCTGTAATATATAATATTTTAATACCACTGACCAGTCATGTCAATTGTAAATACAATGGTTTTAGTATATATATATTTTATTTTTAGAAGGCACAACATGATTAATTTAAGTAGAGTAATTTCTCTTATTCTTCAACAGTATATTGTACTGAAGTTTATTTTAACGAAAGCCAACATCAACGAATAGTTTGTTTTGTCAAGCCAAGATATTTTTGCCCTTAAGGTCAAGAACAAAACATTTTCAAGATTTGAGTTGAAGTTTTTTTTTACCTATCTAGAACTGTTATCCTTGTAAGACATTTAGAAGTATCACAGCACATTAAGAGACTACAGTTTTGTGGATGTAGACATCTATTTAAATAAAAAGTCTATATTCATAAAATTGTTGTCTCTCTATCTAGATCTATTTATCAAAAGTGTTCTGTAACTCTCTACTGTATTCAGTTCTTTGCTGAATGTATAAGTTAATTACTGAAGAATATTAGCAATATAGTCTGGTCTTAAATATGAATAATGAATGTATTCATGCAATACAAGTGAGTCACATCTGGGAGAATTTCAAATAATTTAGTATATTATATCAATGTAGTTTAAATGGTGATGAACATAAAACCTCCTTCTCAGATGAAACAATTACTATAATATAATGTTGACAAGTGAAAATATACAAGGCACTAAAAAAAAGTATATCAACAACTATACAAAACTTATACATAAATATAAAACAAACAATTTAAAAACATGGCATAATGAATCCGAGATTTCAATATAATTTGGACGGATAAACAATGGATATGAAATTATGACCAAGATTAGAGATAACTGAAAATTATACAAGTCTCTCTCCAATGAGAAATTAAAATATGTACAGTATTTCAAATTTTGTGGACATAATTATGTAAACAAAGATGTACTCATGCCCCACCCCATATCTAGCTTTGTTAAAGTCTATATATGACAGATCATACTGTTTTCTTCTTGATTTTTATGAGAAAATTTAGATAGAAAGAAATGCTCATTTGTTTTTATAGCGTTACAGATGAAGAGAACACTTTTATCAGTCTCCAAGATAAACCGGTCTCATAGAATAGTATAATCATATTTTCTACCAATCTGCTAAAGCTTAAAACCTATTTGATTTTCTTTTTTTCTCCTGTTTTATTATGAGAAAATGTATATTTCAGGAAATACTAAATTTGTTTATATAAGGTTACAGATAAAAATGCTAAAATCTTTTTCAGTTCAGCTTTTGTGAGTAGTCCTCGGTGTGTAGGTCTGTGATAGAGTAGAGTCAAATTTTTCTACCAATCTTTTGTTTTAAAGTTAACCAAAATGGCTCAAAACCACTGTCTATTAAAGTATAATAAATTAAGTACCTAAAGCTGATATCTTCTAAGAAGATTTATAATTATTATAAGGTTTTTCTACTAATGATATAACCAACTGATTTTGAAATATAAATATTTTAACTTGACGGAAAATATAAATAAATACAATCAACACAGAGAGATATTGAATCCAGCCCCATTTAATCAAATACCAGAATCCGGGTGTATATCTAAGATTATAGTTAAGGTAAAATATATTGTATATCTTGAACCATACACATAAATCAATATTTCCATGATGAAAATCATCAGCTGAACAAGATCAACTTCACTTCATTATCAATGAAAAATCATAATGCATACGGCCAAATTGAGCGTTTAGTATAAAGGCTTTAATTAGCTCTTTCATCACAATCATGTGTATGTCCAACTTTCCAGCACTTTATGGGCTAATGAAGTCGGGTAAAGCCGTGTAGTATACAAATAGGGAAAATTTGCCAGGACAGCAGCATTAGCCTACTATTCGTTGATTTCAAACTGTCGAGGGATCTTTAATATACATGACGATTGAGATCGGCAATCTTTTCAGAAGTGAGGGACAAGGGCAGTAACTGTGCAAACATGGATGCTGACATACTACTGTATAAATAATAAAAGGATACAAGAAGAGATCTTCAGGATAAGATATAGTTGCTGATATTTTAAATGGTTTACCAGCACCTCGACCACTAGTCCAGAATTTAAATGGTTCAACCAATCTAGTTGTAACTGAAAATAGTCATCTTTCTTTTAGGCAGATAGACCAACATACTTCAATCCAAAATTAATCAATTTTTTAGTCTATATTTTTAGTCAAACCTCTCTATTACAAGTATTTTCTTCTTCGGGTATTCAGTTCAGGAGTCCAGTTTTTCAAAGCATGCATACCCACAGACATAATGTAATTCATGTTTCAAAGTCTCCTAGAGTACAGAGTTAACTGTACAGCCTTGTTTTGTATGAACAATATTTTTTTACATAATAGTATTGGTTAGCAAGCTTAGTGATAAATATTTGCATTGGCTAAGGTGACATAAGATACTTGATTTGTGCAGTTTAACTAACTATTCAATTTTAAGAGTATAATCAGAAGGCTCACCATTTCTCTGTGAGTATTGTTTCAGTATATTGGATAACAGATAAGTATCAGCATAGGTACTAGTAGAATCTATCAGTGATGACTGAAATATATTAGTATTAGTATTATAATAATAACATGAAGTACTGGAGAAATACCATAATATCAGCTTGTCTGTGTATCTAGTTCTGTGTTGAATAAAATGTAGTTTTAAGTTCCATTGTGCTACACTATACTGTCAAATCATTAACCCTGACTGGGCTAGGTCTTCCTTTAATGAACTAAGAAGACAGTAATGCCATATAGAATGCATCAGGACATTTTCTTGGCAGCAAAGAGTGTTGTACAGTAATACACTAAGACTTCCTGAGCTTTTTACATACTTTTAATCTCTCAAGTCACAAGGACTTTGTATATGATACACAAGGCAACATGTCCATGTCAGAAAGTACATGACTGTCAAGGGGGGCAATCATTTAAGAGAATTCACACTTACATTATATCTGGTATCAAGACCTTTATGTCCCAGTGGTTGTTTCTGTAGCACCTTTAAATCACCAATAACATCTAACATAGCACCTGGCCTAGAGGATTCATAATCTATATAAGCTAGGGACTCCATGTACAATGAGGAAAATTTCTGAAAGAAAAACAGTTCAAGTTTAGTGTTCATTTGTCTGAGTCAAAGTGCACTATCAATCTCTAAAAGTATTGGAATTGAAATGATTTTTCTTCCTACAAACATCAATTTCTACAAGGGATATTTAGCATGCAAAGCTATTTGAGCAGATAGCCTGTTTTACTAGACACTATTTCCATGTCAGCCCTTGTGAACTACTTTAACTATTGTGTGGAACAGAGTTAAATAATAATTTAGAGATACCATATCTGCCTTTCCCCAGACTCTGAGTATTTTACTCACCCAAGCCCCCAAATATGAGATTAAAAATTGTGTTACCTTTAACCTATAATAAAATACTAAGAGTAATCTAGTTCCAACAACATTTTCACTGTCTAACATTGGTATTTCAATATCCAACATCATCTTATCATTTCTACCATCTCTGTTACTGTCTTCTTCTCGTGCCTACAAAGATAATGTACAACATGGAATGGGTAAGTCTTTATCATGTTAATCTATTAGGTTTTCTGGTCTGGATTTGTGTGGCACCGACAGCTTCAATCTGCACCAATCTGCTTGTCTATCTGTTCTCTGTGGCTCGATTATGAAAACACTATCAGATATTGTCTTGAATGGCTAAGAAAGGCCATGACGAATTACATATACATTTGACAATGGTCAAAACTATGGAAAAAATTTGATTCCTAAAAGAAAGATTTACATATTCAAGACAATCAAAAAGACTCTTATTACAATTATAACATCATTATATACATAACTGTATCTAGTCATTCTTAATCAAAATATTGTAACTGTTTCTGTTTTTCAACAGAACAGTAATAACTGCTCAAATACTCACTTTAATGACAGGTACTCTAAGATTGTCTTGTTGTAGTTGGTTATATTTCTGGTACGTACTGTAAGTAACATAGTTCCCTTGTCCCTCTAGATCTAGCACCAACAACAACTCCCTTTTAAACGTTATTTCAGGCAATTCTCTATAATATGCTTCTTTTATCCAGAAGCCTACAGTAATACAAGATCGTGTCAACAATAAAAATAAACTGGATCCCTTGTCGCTACACTAATAACTGGTACGGCCTAAATCTCGTCTCAGTCAGACGAGACATAGTCTATTCCGCGTTGAACACTAGGACTTTACTGTATGACATTAATTTCGTCCAAGCAATGGCAAGATGACAACTCGTTCTTTCAGTGTGAAGCTTTTGATGGAATGGCGGACCAGTTTATATTATTTATGCTATTGGTATCTTTATTCAACTTACTAATGTTTCAATACATTAGATTAGTGTCAATGATCAGTAAACAGGAGCAAAACAACTTTAACACCACGAATGCATAACTACACAAGGATGGCTTTATGACCAGCACAGGCAAATAAATATTAAAATGCAACAAAAGCATCATCAAATTGTTAAATAGACAAAATTATACGTGGAAATTGACTGTTGCTACGGCGAGTCAAAACATGTTTAGTTTTGAAAAATGAAATCACTCATTTCATGAGAAGAATAAAGGTGAATACATACCATAACTTCGATATACAACAAAGAGAGGTGGTATGAAGGTCAAAATAAATATGCAAACAAGAATAAGGGTTGCTTTGGAGCACACAGTTGATTTATATCGACGGACTTCTGGATGAGAGAAGACTTCGAAGACCGCCATTTTGAAACAAAGCAGCTCCGCACAAATTAGTCAAGTCAAGACGACCATTATCAGACCATTGCGTTTGGACAATTCGACCAAGGTGACAATCTGTATCGAATCATCTCAAAGAAACGACACCTTTAGACTGATTTAGTCTGTGTTGAAATTCACAAATGTACTATTTAAAACATTTATATTAGCTTATGTTATGGTTATTGTGTCCTTGTTTTCAGTGGTTCAAAAGATTTTCTCTCAACCTTTTGCACTTAAGTGTTCTTGAATGGTTAGCAAAATATTCGATTGCGAACAGCAACCGGATCGCAACAAAACGGATTGTAGGTTAATGAGATTAAAATTGCGAAAAATGTGGAAGATTCGAAACTAATATTTGAATGTCGAAGAACTGTGAAATTTACAACTTCTGTAAGTTGTATAATATACAGTGTAATAGCGATGTTTATATAGCAAAAATGAGAGGCGTGTCTCCGAACGAGAAAGGAAGGGTCGAAACCCTTTGAGGCCGGGGATCTGCCCCCCAGAAGCCAACGGATTTCAGATGGCCTAATACTATTTATCAAGAGAAAAGCTGATGTATTAATATAAATTTATCATAACTATACTGATAAGATAGGTCAACTATTGTTTGAATTAGGAGATTTAGGAGTATTACGAAATAATCATATTATAAAACGAGTAATTTTTCACAAATTCAGGTAAGTGGCATAATATATAATTTGAATGAAATTGATCAAGTCGATTGTTTTGTGATTTCCCAAAAATTTCAGAGAACATTAATTTTCCGACGACAACTTGTCACCCAGAACGTCGTGATATCTGTAATACCATTCTGAATGGAAGATAATTTGGTTAAAAAAATTGTTTGTTCTTCAGATGGCAGCCTCTACGTTTTCCTTTTATTGAAAATGAACCCAACGTTCGATTTTCATTCTAGAAAGTTTAAGGCAATTTGAAATTAAGATATTTCACCTGGAAGGCAAACATAAAGACGACTATAATATACGTAATATAGAAGTGTGTGATACTATGATATATTCCCTGTGTTTTTTTTTATTTTTTTATTTTCATCTGAAGACACAGTAATTTGTGTTGAAACGTTATATACTTTGTTATTAAAGAAGTTTGTCATACCATAATATATATATAAAAACTTAACTTTGGCAGACTTCCATTGTGCACACAATGGAAGAGGTGCAAATTAATGAAGATCATACAACGCAATATTAAGACGCTATAATTCCAGACGAAACTACGCGTTGTTCTTAGATAGAAATAAATGACACAAATTGGTTGAAAAAGAAAAATCGCAAAATAGTCCGCGCCCATGGTCAGTCAACAATCTGTCAATTCACAATACAACATTGAGGTTTTGCAACATTTTAGGCGTTGAGAACAATTTTTGAATGACAACTGTTGAAAGGAAAGTAAGACACTACTTTCGTTTTAATGTGTGTACGTCTAAATGAAACTAATATTTGAATTTCGAAGATTATTTTTCTTTATCTATTGGAGCTGTATCTAAATCTGCCTACTAATGGAGTCAACTTTTGCCTTTTTCAAATGTGTACTTGATTTAATATATTAAATAATATTATAAACCCAAACCATGAGCTCCCATTGATCAGATAAATAAAAAGTTGGATTCAGCTTGCTGTACAGAATAGAACATGTTAAATCCCAAAATGTGAAATTTACAACTCCTATTACAATATGGCCGTTAACAGTGGCGGAGACAGCCCCGAAAGCAAGTTTTTTCACGCAAAATTCTCATAAATAGGCTTGAGATTCGAGCAATTTTAGACATGTCGCCACCTCTCGGACGAAAACCTGACGCCGCCACCAAGTTCGTGATCTGATTCTGGTAACTAGTTCAGGCGCGTAGTTTTGTATCGGCGTAATCCTTTAACCTTAGTCCTTATCTCTCAGATTTCCAATTGTTAGTTATTTTTGAATTTTTTTCTTAAAATCGACATTATTTCTTTTAACTGAATATACATATTTCTTAAGTCTTTCACATAATGAAATTTCTTGACTGTAATTTATACCATACCATAGAATGCTACAGATAGAACTATCGGACCTCGTACTCCTTAGCTACAGAAAAATGCGCTTATCAAACCGAATTTTCCGTGGTCAGGGCCAAGTGCTGTAGATCACAAACTCGCTCTATTTGTACATTATTATTCATTGACTGATAAAAATAAGAGTGAATTCACATTGAAGTGACCATCACAGAGAGATCTGATGTCTGGATTGATTTAAAGGAATAAGCCTAACTCGAAATAATTACTCAATTCTGAATGAAAGGTTAAAGTAATAAAAGCTAGGCCATATTTAGTTATTTTCCTTCAAATCGGTTATCTTTGATGAGGATTAAATTGTGTAAATATTTTATCGAATGATTTACTTAATATAAAACCACATAGGAGTTTTTACTCCAAACGGATCTGATATCCGATATTTTATTACATTATTGTTATATATATGCAAATTTAGAGCGTAAATATTTCAGAATCATTTCCCATATTTTTAATCTGAATTTAATTGATATTTGCTTTAACTATCTGGCCACGTACTTTTCTTCTGAAATTGGTAGGCCTATAATATATCATGCGTATAGATGCAATTGACGTTTAATATAGTTGGTCTAACAAGTAGGTCATTTTGACACTAGCCTATATTTATGAAATTAATATCTGATAAAGAAATGAGGTAGAAATTTCCCATATCAGAAATGGTGTTCATAACTTAGACCCACCTTTTAAATTGGCAGTGTCTATATACCACGTCGTGGTAAACTCAAGTAATCATGATTTGTTATTATTTTGTGGCATATCATTCTATCTTTAAAGAACCTTCGTATTTAAAATTTTCACCTCATTCACCAAAAGATCAATTAATGCCGTGTTAATATTGAGTATGAGTTGTTACTCGTGAAAACTCTAGAAAGCAAATATTTAATTACTGAATAATAAAACCAAGTTTTGTCAAAATCCGGCAAGAATCATGCCTTTTTGTGTTTAAGAGCTAAAACTTGAACTCGCTTTCAAGAACAAGGGCAATAACTCTTATGAAACATTTTTCGATTTTTTTGTTTTTCGATAGGTTTCATCCATGGTTGATAATTTACAATTTCACCAATTTTCGTCAAAATCTGTCGACAGTTGTGCCTTCTAGAGTGTTAACCAGATACAATTTCTCAAGAACAGGGACAATAACTCATACTCAATATTTTTCGATTTTTCTGATTTTCGATAGGGTTCATCCTTAGGTGATAACGAACTCTCACACCAAGTTTCGTCAAAATTCGTCAAGAATTGTGCCATCGAGAGTGTTTACAAGCTTAATATTGAACGCGCTTTCAAGAACAAGAGCAATAACTCATACTAAATATGTTTCTATATTTCTGATTTCCAATAGTGTTTATCCTTGGGTGATAACAAACACTCATACCAAGTTTCGTCAAAATCCGTCAAGATTTGTGCCATCTAGAGTGTTTACGAGCTAAAAATTGAACGCGTTTTCAAGAACAAGGGCAGTAACTTTTTTCGGTTCTTCTGATTTTCAATAGGGTTCATCCTTGGGTGATTACGAACACTCACCCTAAGTCTCGTCAAAATCCGTCAAGAATTGTGCCTTCTAGAGTTTTTACGAGCAATTGTGGACGGACGGACGGACATGAGTGACGGCAATATACGCCTCCTCCCTCCCCATTTCATGTGGGCGTATAAAAAACCTCTTTTTTGAAATTTGGTGATACTGCTATTAATTTGCAATTGGCACATTTCTAGTACTTCTGAAGACTATTTACGTCTATTCAAAACCCAACTCAACCCTCGAAAATAGCGAATCTGTCCTTTTAAGGTAGAAATTGTGTGTTCAGAAATACAGGAGAAACTGTTACACATGAGAACTTCGAATTAGAACTTGGAAGTCATAATAAAAGAATTTTTTTTAAACATAGATTTATCTCAAATTGAAACTTAATGTTACTTTTCTTCAATAGAAATCAGAAAAAAACAGGTAATTTCTATTTTTTAAACGTCCGATACAATTACAAAAATCCATAAGAAAACTAGGATTCAGCATTTCAATATGTACTGACTGAGCGAAGTAGAACGTTTAAAAAAAATTCCATTATTTTTCTGAGAATCGAGATAGCAGCCACAAACTAGTACTGTTAGTCTTAGAATGACTTTCGATGATAAAAATATAAACATGAGCAAAGATTATATTTTCAAAATCTGATTTACAGAGAACAACGTGACCAATCTGACTTTGTTTTAAAATTGGTGATTAGAATCTTAGTATACTCGCTATTGTTAGTCGAGACCTTCAAGATAAGAATAAGACATATTTCTCTATAACTTGTAGTTTATTTTGCTACAATTCGTGCAATAGTTTTTCTAAAACCAACAAAAAAACATAGCGACGCTTTAATGTTTACCTAAACCTTTTAACTCGTTTTGTTTCTAAAGTTAGACATTTGGTCCTACTGATAAAAAAAAGATAAAACATGTAGATAACTTAATGGACACATTTCTCAATAATTCTGTGTATATTTGAAATAAATTTGAGAAAAACTTTCCAGCTAACTTCAAAAACAGACTGCACCTTATGCGTTTTTGTGTTAATAATCATATCGTATGTATTATTGAAATTCAATATGGAGTATAATTCACACGTTTACTTCAAATTGATTTAGTTTTTGATACATACTGACGACTGTTAGTCTTGGTGAATTTTGTCGTTGTATTTTGGTGTGCCAATTTCTAGATTTAGAATAATCTATATACAATGTAATTAATTAATCCAATTAATCCCCCAGCAAAGTGATAACAAACTTCGCAATAATCGAAAATCAAGCCCGAGCGCGATCGGTTTAATCCCACTTTGCTGGCTCAATGGATAAATTAGGTCTAATCAAATTCAATCCGTATTAGTCAGATTAGGACAAATGAGACAGGAGTTGACTAATATAGCTGATATAAACCATGTTCATGTAATTTAAGGTAAATGTTAGTATATGATTCGGTCAAAATGGTTTAAAACTAGAGTTTTTGTACTAATTAAGTCAGTCAGTTCCCTTTTTGTAAACCACGCTGGGACCGCCCTCTAATAACAAAGTTATCTGCTTTCAGGTTGACAAGTAATGTTCGGATAGCTGAATATAAATTTATACGAGGCAATGAAGGTCTCAACGACCGACAAACCCGGGTAAGCTCTTTTTTATACGCCCACATTAGATGGGGGTGGGGGGAGGGGGGTGGGGGCGTATATTGTCGTCACCCATGTCCGAACCCTATTGAAATCAGAAAAATCGAAAAATATTTAGTTATTGCCCTTGTTCTTGAAAAGCGCTCAAGTTTTAGCTTGTAAACACTCTAGAAGGGACAATTCTTGACGGATCTTGTCCATTAAGTTATCTAAGTCAGATTGGTCACGTTGTCCTCTGTAAATCAGATTTTGAAAATATAATCTTTGCTCATGTTTCTATTTTTATCATCGAAAGTCATTCTAAGACTAACAGTACTAGTTTGTGGCTGCTATCTCGATGCTCAGAAAAATAATTGAATTTTTTTTAAACTTCAGTCAGTACATATTGAAATGCTGAATCCTAGTTTTCTTATGGATTTTTGTAATTGTATCGGACGTTTAAAAAATAGAAATTACCTGTTTTTTCTGATTTCTATTGAGTTTCAATTTGAGATAAATCTATATTTTAAAAAAATGTGTAACAGTATTTCTGAACACACAATTTCTACCTTAAAAGGACAGATTCGCTATTTTCGAGGGTTGAGTTGGGTTTTGAATAGATGTAAATAGTCTTCAGAAGTTCTAGAAATGTGCCAATTGCAAATTAATAGCAGTATCACCAAATTTCAAAAAAGAGGTTTTTTATACGCCCACATGAAATGGGGAAGTAGGGAGGGGGCGTATATTGCCGTCACTCATGTCCGTCCGTCCACAATTGCTCGTAAACATTCTAGAAGGCACAATTCTTGACGGATTTTGACGAGACTTAGGGTGTTCGTAATCACCCAAGGATGAACCCTCTTGAAAATCAGAAGAATCGAAAAAAGTTACTGCCCTTTTTTCTTGAAAACGCGTTTTAGCTCGTAAACACTCTAGATGGCACAAATCTTGACGAATTTTGACGAAACTTGGTATGAGTGATTGATATCACCAAAGGATAAACACTATTGGAAATCAGAAAAATATTTAGTATGAGTTATTGCCCTTGTTCTTGAAAACGCGTTCAATTTTTAGCTCGTAATCAGTCTAGGAGGCACAATTCTTGACGGATTTTGATGAAACTTGGTGTCAATGTTCATAATCACTTAAGGATGAACCCTATTGAAAATCAGAAGAATTGAAAAATGCCATCAAATTAAGCTCTTAAAGACTAAAAGGCATGATTCTTGTTGGATTGTTTTATTATTCAGTCCCGCACTGAAGATTGAATATTTGCCTCCTAGAGTTTCACGAGCTAAAAATTGAACACGTTTTCAAGAACAAGGACAGTAACTCATACTCAATATTATTCAGTATCGCCCTAAAGAGTTCAAAAGAAGTATATGACTAAAGGTTGAAAATTACATACTGGCAATTGTTACAGTACTGCATAAATTTTTTATTTAAAATCAAAGCTGTCAGTGGGCGTATATTGCGTTGCCTGGCAAGCTATCTTTCCTTAAAGGGATACGTACTAATCAGTAGAAGGCTATTGTTCAGAGTTCATCGTCGAAATTTAAACCTTCAAGTGTGTCCAGAATAAAATAGCGACTTTAAAGTGTTTACATAGACACGTTATAGGTTCAAACTTTCAGATAAGATAATGTGCATAAATTATTAATCTCATTTTCCCCCAGTTTTTATTCATTTCGTCACCTAACTAGCCTTCCCTGTTGTGATGTCAGTCATAATCATAATGGTCATAATCAAATGGTACAAATACTGCAGCAAACGATGTAAAGCCAATTTCTAAATTTGAAACATTAGAGCAAATCACCATTAGAGCAAATAAAAGTGAAAAGAGTATTAAAATTTGTCTGGAAGATTATTTTACATAAATGTTTCCTCATGTACAGTAACCCTTGACATCGAATTAGTATTACATGTATATTCTAGGATCAGGGTTGAAATTCACAAACACTTTTATAGTTCTTGAGATGTACTTTGTTTTTTCGTTTTAATTCCAATCTTGTAACAAAAGGGTTTGATAATACCACTGAGTTTGAGGTCGAGCAAATTTCAGATGTAAATATAACTATGATTAAGATTTGAAAAAGAACAAATATTATTTTTATACGCCCACATGGAAATGTGGAAGTATATTGCCGCCGCCCCTGTCCGTCGGTCCCTCAACATTTGTTGTGAACACAATATAGGGACTACAGTTTTCGACTGATTTTAATGAAATTTGGTGTGATCATTTGTATTGATGAGATCTTGGTCAAGTTGGAATTTGATGATTCTTCGATGAACGGTTTTTGAGTTATAGCCCTTTACTTAGGAAAAACCCGTCAAAATTTGTTTGTGAACACAATAGAGACTACAGTTTTCGGATGATTTTAATGGAATTTGGTGTGATCATGTATATTAATGAGATAATTTGATGCATTTTGGGTTAATGATATTGATTTAAAAAAATCTGGTGCAATTTCTCAGTATTAATAAGCCACAAGAGATTAAACAATGTTCCTCGTTTTTTCGATCTGGTCTTTACAATATAAACATAACCTATTTTCAACTGGGATACATTCGTATCGCCCCGTCTCAATTCTAGACATCTAAATTTAGCTAAGGAACTTCTATGGGACGGGAGGATGGACAATTTAACATAGTCATCAGTATCATACGTTTGTTTCATGGTCTTATAAGTTCTACATCACTATGCGACTTATTATATGTGGGTATTATGCTCAAAGACATCATTAATAAGTAGTTTCGGACTAAGATAATTATTAGTATTTACAATATTAAAAACTTTATCCCATAAACCAGCTTTTATAAGAAACTTTTTGATTCTATAGACGAATTTGTAGTATTAATTGGTTTGACATGTTTGAAAGCCGGCAGTAATGATTAATGACTGGACTCCCAAGATCTTAAAGGGATGGGTACCCAACGCATATTACCCGATACAGCTGCATTTCGAGTGTATTTACCAACTAAAAAATATCGACACGCCCTATTTTGTACTGCTGAGATACATGTAAATTCACGGTCTCCCCAAACTGCAGCGCCCTAACCAATAACGCGATATACCATACAATCATACAGTTTAGTAAAAATATCATACGGGACTCCACCTAAGCCCTTTGTCTAAGCAATTAACAGGCCTAATACACGGGATACGGGGTTTTGATACATGTTTTGTCATTTGGTTGTAATCTAAATGCTTCGTAAATAGAACACCTAAGTAAACATATCTATCAGTGATTTCAATTACATCATTGCTACATGAAAATACACAAGTTGTTCTCGGCTTTGCATTATTACGAAAATGGACAACATTTGATTTCATAAAATTAACAACCATACTATTATCAGAAACCCAAATATTGAACACATCTAAGATCATTTGTAAATCCGACTCCTTTCGGTTAATAAAACTTTATCATCGGCATAAGGCAAAATAGACAATTTTTCCCCACCAATATTGATACCTATACCCAATTCAATAATGATTTTTACAATATCATTTACATACGGATTAAAAAATAAAGGGGACAATAAACATCCTTGTTTGAGACCACAGTTAATTCAAACCAGTTGGTTTTGAGACCATTTATCCGAACACAACTTTTTACTTCTACCTAAATTAATTTAATTGCTTCATAGAATTGACCAGAAATCCATTTTCCAAAAGCTTTTTTGATTTGTTTTTCTATATGCAGTTTTGAAATCATTGAAGGCGCGGAAGTGGATAGCCGCATTATCTTTCTTGTTTCTTTCTTGTTGAAGGGGGAGATAATATGGTCGGATGTACTTCGGTTTTTCCGAAACCCATTTTGTTTATCATAAATCAGATCTAATTCATTAACAAATTTGTTGAGTATCTCATTTAAAATAGAACAGTAAAGTTTATATGACGACGGTGCAAGCAGGATACCTCTGTAGCTCAGGGGGGTCACGGGGATCTTTGGTAGATGATTTAGGAATGGGGTTTATGATGCTACATTTCCAGAGATTAGGTATCATACTATTTACTAAAAGCACGTATTTTACCAGAACATTGGCTTTAGTAAGGGAAGGGATGTCATCACACCCCGATGCTTTATTGTCCTTAGCACGCTCTAAGGAGTTTTGCACCTCGATTAAACTTATATCTGCATTTAGTTGTGATATCATGTCCTTTGAAACATTTAAATTGTTAAATTCACTGCCATTGTAATCATGTCTGTTACTACCGTTAATGTCCTTAGAGTTCAGAATGTTCTTGAAATCATTCTCCCATTTTTGTAATATCTGATCCATATTGTCACTTATATCACTACTTTCAGTAATTATTCCCATGGGTATGGATGTTCGCGTCGCCCCTATGTCAATTTTACCAAATTCTTTCCAGAACTCGGGACAGTTCTTTGAAGTAAGCTCCTGAAGATTATTTTGTTCCCTGTACCAATGTTATCGCTTCGCCCTCCGCACTTCTTTATCAAAAAGTTTACCTTTGGTTTTATAACTGTCAAAAGATATACGTGCGTGTATTCTTATTCACTGACTTGCCCCTTAACCACTGTTTTTCTGACACACACAGATCATTCCATGGTTAATGCCTAGGGTTTCATTCCACCATGGGTTAGCTTTTCGTCGTGGTATTTGTTACAACTGTCCATAACCACATTTTTTGGCGCAAGTTTGAGATCCATTTTTATAGCTTTAACGAATTTTATTATATAGTTTCGGCGTTGGCAACGCATTAGTATGCATAAACATATCAATCTCGATCGCATCAGCAACTATTAAATATTGGCGAAGTTTGGTTTGGTATGTGCGTCTATGCATACATATAAAAAAAAACATCTAGCCTCTAGTAGCTATATAGGACACAATTACTAAACTAGTAGCTATATAGAATACCTATCTATCTGACACTAAGTCTGGTAGGCTAGCTACAGGGGACACTTATCTATCTGACACTTACTAAACCAAGTCCGATAGCTAAATAGAACACTAAACTAAATCTCTATGGCTTTATAGAACACTTGTCTATCTGACAATAACCAAGCCCCTATTAGCTATATAGAACAATTGTCTATCTGACAATAACTAAGCCCCTAGCAGCTATATAGGACACCTATCTATGTGACACTAGTACCCACTAGGTTTGACCAATTGTTAGGAGAAAACAAAAGCAGATAGAAATGAACAACTATGTAATTCCAATAGAATATTCATTTCTACAACAAATTTACACAAATTTAAGTAACAGACAGCCGTGTTTACTGTTCGACCGGCACACAAAGACAAGGAGGGTCGGGTTTACTTTTACAGAAATTCAGAAGGCAAATTGTCTTTAAAAAATAATCAATATTTATTTATCAATTAATTAATTAATAGCAAGTGTGACTTCCATTAGCAGCAATGCAGGCGACAACACGTCGACGCATTGATGATGTAAGACGTTGGATGACGTTAGGCGTTATTCTTTGCCATTCTTCTACGAGACATTGTTCCAGCTGTTGAGCAGTGACAGGTTGCGTCGGTCGATTTCGGATTTGCCGATCGAGGTAATCCCATAGGTGTTCAATCGGATTCATGTCGGGAGAACAAGCTGGCCACGGTAAAACAACGACGTTGGCGTTTTGAAGAAAGTCATTTGTCAATCTTGCTGGACCGTGTGTGAGATGTATTACAGTGGTTTAATCACTTTATTTTAATTTTTGTTAATCGTACTGTAAATTATATAGGTGGGTACTTTCTTTTGAGCATTAGTTCAGTAATATAGGACACCTATGTATCCGACACTAAATAAATCTAGTCTGGTAGCAATTTACGACACTTGACTATCTGACACTGAGTTTCTAACTCTAACAGGATTAATATGTGTACTTGGTGTAGACGACGTTGTACGAACTACCTGCTCTTTTGAATTTGTAATAGTTGTAACTGTAGAGGATGTATTGGTTTCCAATAAATCATGTTCATCATTTAGATCTCCACAAACCAATACATCAGCCAACTGTTCGACCTCCTCCGTTAAAATGTATTTTGAATCTTTAAATTGCTTGACTTCGCCTAGTCCGAAGCATCTGCCTCTATTCCAGTCTCTGAAGAATATTTTGACAGTAAAGCCTCGAGGCCAGCTGACATCTATAGCTAGAATAGAATAAGATGTTTCTGTCTTGATTTCGCACTGTCACTTTTCTTTAAGTAAAGTGTGCTTATTTATGAAATATCAGAAAAATGATTAAACTTAAAGGAATTATAAAGAGGTTTTCTAAATTTCTATATGATTAGCATCAATTTGCACCATTCCAATTTTCAAATAGACGTCCGTGGTTTCCTGCAATTCCATTCAAACTAAGCCTTTTACGACGTCATTAATAGCAAAGTCCTTATGTGACAAAGCATGTTTCGCGATAAGTGACGTCATAGTTTGAATGCAGGAATCACAGACATCTGATTGAAAAATTAGAATGGTGCAAATCGATGCTGGCGGTGCCCATGATACAAATTTAGAAAATCTTTTTACAATCCCTTTAAGTTAAAATAGGATCGATGACGATACATACACTTAAAACACAAACTATACACTGATGTTACATTTTATTCCAAACGTTGTGATTTATTGAGCATGCACGTCTGTACAGGGGAGTAACCAACAAAAACAGAACAACCAACAATTTATTTCACGTTATATTGAAATAAATTTGATTATATTTCAGCTGTAGAGAACGGTGTAAGATGACTAAATCAAAAGTGGTAAAAACAGCAGTGGTCATTTCAGTTTTGAGTTTCATCTATCTTTTACATCAATATTCACTGGTAAGAATTTATTTAATATTCTGTGTATATTTACCCACTGATACATTTAACATCACCCGCCTTGAAAATTTCAGACAACCATCCAATTCCATATCTGCAACTAAACACCATTCATACACCATTGCCCCTCTGAATACATATTACTTGCCTCTCCGAACAATCAAGTCTGGCTATGGATCTGCGGCTGGGCAAAACACATTGGCCATTGTTTCCTGACAATACCACTTTTGACAATGTATATGACTGGTATAATGAAACGTTCATTTAGCTGCTAAAAATATATTTCTAAAATGTTGTTTTGGATTTCGAGTCAAGTTTGTACTTTAAATTTTAATAGAATATTCCTTTAATGAAAAAAACAAACTTCAACATAGATAATTTGTGTCTGTTGTGATGGGTTTTAAGATGTAAAAATATGGTAATTTGAATTGGAATGTGTATGTTTATACACTACTATATGGTTTTGGATAAAAATGGACCACTTCTCGGTACTTTTGTGCACAGAAAATAGTTCACACCAGTTAAAATTGGATGCATGCATACGAAGATTTCTGGCAAGTTTTTTTTGCTGACCATCCACAAAAAAAGTTACTAGACTAGGAAAAATCTTGTTGAAATATAGCTTGCCAGGCAAGGTAATATACGCCCACTGTTAGCTTTGATTATAAAAGGAATAATTTGCAGTAAATATAACAATCGCCAGTATGACATATTGAACCTTTAATCATACACTTCTTTTGAATTTTTTGAGGTGATACTGAACAATATTACCAAAGTTTCGTCAATATTAAATAAGAATTGTGCCATTTTGAGTGTCTTCTGTAACTACGGGCCTGCCCAGTCGTAACAATTTATCTTGTCTTGGTAAGTTTGTTTGTATGAATACAGGGAAAGAGTTTATACTAATACAGTAGTAATCCATCTACAATTATATTTGTTTAATATTTCTTATTTATTATATTTTTCTTTCAGCTTGACATAGCTATATACCACAAGTACTTCACAAATTACAAGAAAATGGTATTTATCTTACATTACTGTTTTAGTATTATATAAATACATGTACTTTAATACATTTTCTACAAACTTTGTTTTTCTTCGATGCTTTTGATGCTTCTTTTCATTTATGTACCTTCATTTACATACATATCATTATCCACAGACCACCATTTACATACCTTCCTTTACATACCTTTATTTATATACCACCATTTACTTACCTTCATTTATATACCTTTATTTATATACCACCATTTACTTACCTTCATTTATATACCTTTATTTATATACCATCATTTACTTACCTTCATTTATATACCTTTATTTATATACCACCATTTACTTACCTCTATTTATATACCTTTATTTATATACCATCATTTACTTACCTTCATTTATATACCTTTATTTATATACCATCATTTACTTACCTTTATTTATATACCACCATTTACTTACCATCATTTATATACCTTTATTTATATACCGCCATTTACTTACCTTTATTTATATACCACCATTTACTTACCATCATTTATATACCTTTATTTATATACCACCATTTATTTACCTTCATTTACATACCTTTATTTACATATCACCATTTACTTACCTTTATTTATATACCACCATTTACTTACCTTCATTTATTTATATACCACCATTTACTTACCTTCATTTACATACCTTTATTTATATACCACCATTTACATACAACCATTTATATACTACTATTTACATACCACCATTTACATACCACCTTTACTATTTCTTTAATTAGGTACCTTCATTTATATAGACCTACCACCAATTACATTCTACCATTAACATCCTACTATTTACATACTATCATTCACATACCTTCATTTACATACTTTCGTTTACTCACCTTCATTTAAATACCGTCATTTGTATACCTTCATTTACATAACAACATTCACATATTATTCACATACCTTCATTTACATATCCTTATTTATTTATCACTATTTACAAACTTTCATTTACTTACTCCATTCACTTACCTTCATATAAATACCTTCATTTGCATACTGCCATTCGCATACTACCATAACTATATCATTATTTACATTTCTTCATTTATACACCATACATACATATACATTTGCATACCTTCATTTACATACCTCCATTTACATGCCTTTATTTGTATGCCTTCAATTACAACCCTTGTTGTCAAGCCTTCATTTACAAACCTTTATTTACATGTCTTTATTTACATACCACAATTTTGCTGCTATGTAACTACTAAATTTAGTAGGTGACTAGGTCTGAATTAAAAAAAGGCGATAGGGCTGCCATACAATGTATTTATTAAAGTACAAGTTCAATAATAACTACGAAATGCATTTTTATTGATAAAATATAGATCTAAAATGATTTTTCCGTACACAAAACATTTACATTAGTGACTGTTTCGGCCCTTCTGGCACTTTTAGAAAATTTCTTATAACCGTTCATCAGCAATAGATTGAAAGCAAACTGCTACATCAAAGGGGGGGGGGGGGGGGGGGGTAATATTCCTGGTATTAAAGCCATTGGAAGCTTGTTTTATTTTTTTTCTTGCATCAAAAAATTCAAATTAATTTTCTTTCAAACACCATTTTTCATTCTTGAGAGCTACAAATTGAACCCTCCCTACGTAAGTAAGCAGAATTTCCCCCCCCTTAGATACAATATAATCTAGATATATTAATTGAACCCCTTGAAAAGAAATAAATTTATGGAATGAGACATGTCGACATATGCAGGGCTGGGTCAATTAGTTCGCGTTGATCAATGTTTGTTTTATGCGTTCCCAACTTACGAAATGATAAGCATGTGACTCTGTGACGTTTGAACTTTTGGCTGCGCAGGCAGGTGAAAATACAAGTTATTAATTCAAAATAATGTTTTATAATTATATTCCAGTTTTTTAATTCAAAATTTAAAAAAGTAAAAGTTGGGTGAAAATTCAAGTTTTTAGTTTAATATTATGGAATTATCATCTGGGTAAAAATACAAGGTTTAATTTAAAATTATGTTTTATATAATTATATTCCAGTTTTTTTTTAATTCAAAATTAAAAAAAATAAATGATGTCGTATTCGAACCACCGTAGATTCGACGCATTTGAATTGGTTTAAAAGCCCCGCATCTGCGGAAATGCGGAATGTCCCTATATAACAGGCTTTTCTATTTCTGTCTCTACACTGGTCAGCTGACATGATTCTGTCCAAATAGCTATCAGAGACAGGTGTTTCGGTCTAGTTTTTAGAGTAACTTTAGTAAGTTTTAGAGTAACACGTGAAATATAAAACACTTTTTAAAAGGGAAAAGGGATAAAGTCTATTCAGTACGAGCTATCTGCTTTATTTAGCCTACCCGTATTAAATTTCGGGCTTTATAACTAAATTGATGAATTTTCTACTCTAATGTCGTTTGATTATTAAAAAAATGATATATCTATTTTCTTTCAGGTGGATAATGAAACGCAAACACGAAAGGTGAGATGATAAAACATACCTAGAATTTTCGGCCAAAGCCATCTGATGCTTTTGAATCCCCAGGCCTCACAGACATTTTGAACAGTGCATGTGGTACTTATGTTTACTCCCTGTCTATAATAATAAGACACACCGCGTATTCTCAAAACGAAGAATCAATGTTAGAAGATAAGAACCTAGGACATCCTAGCGCTAAGATTGTTTCGAGATATCTTATGGTCTTGACATCTAACACTGTTTCTAGTTTCTAAGATATCCTAGCACTTATTTCGTTTCGAGAATACGTAGTCAGGTTTATCCCTTTTTTTATCCTATACAGACAATGTCTTAGTTTTCTTCCTACATTTGATATTTTTTTGTCAATTTCAGGAAGTGTTTCACTTATTTTTTAATTTATCAAAACAAAACAAAACCAGATTATATTTAATTGATCCAGATGTTATATCAATGAACATATTTCATAGTAATAATAATAATAACAGAAATAATACCATAGGTGATAGGAACATGATCACTCTTGGTATGAATGGTACAGTGGATACGAAGGTAAGAATAACTTGTTTGGATTGGAGGGGGGGGGGGGGATTCCTCTATAAACCGCATCCTCTATAAACGACATTGGCTATTTTCCACTGGCGTGGTGAGCGTGTTAAATAGCCATAAGTACCCTTACAGCTATTTACCACGGCGTGTTAAAAAAAATTAGTCATGATTTGATATTCCTTTCGGCAAGAATTGCTTAAAACTACCTAAATATTCATAATAACGATTTTGAATTCAAAAAATCAATTCAGGACTAATCTTCTCCAAATGGTCGTTAGGGTACTTTGTTTGAGAATAATTTTTGAAAATAAATTCCTGCATTTTATGCAATTTGTCTTCTAATATTACTACCTTTTTTCAACTAACTACAGTGACATATTTAGAGGGTAGTGCCCTCTAAATGCCAAAAAGGGGGCAAAGGTGCCCCTCACCCCCGTCAATGAAATCTTGGCTACGCCACAGAGTAAGTAATGTATATTTCCACAAAAATTGTAATGTTGGATCCTATCGGTGTTAAGGTGATTTGAGAATAACAATCCCATAAAAGTGCAATAAAATTGTTCATTGCTGCATGAATCGAGATGAAAAGTGGGCCATGTTACCACTTTCTTGAGAATTTTAAGGAATTTTTGCGGTTTTTACATAATTTATTCCTCTGTTTCGAAGTTCATGTTAATTCCGGACAGAGTACCTATAATGATAGTGGTTGACTGTAGTATGTCGTCTAGGTCAGTAATGATGCGGATATTGATACTGTTTGACTGTATATAATATGTAGTCGAGGTCAGTAATGATACTGATATTGATAGTGTTTGACTGTAGTATGTAGTAGAGGTCAGTAATGATACTGATATTGATAGTGTTTGACTTTACTATGTATCTAGGTCACTAATAATACAGATATTGATAGTGTTTAACTGTAGTGTGTAGTAGAAGTAAGTAATGGTCCAGATATAGATTAATACTACGGTCAAACACTATCAATATTATTATGTATTATTACTAATCTCTACTACATACTACAGTCATACGCTATCAATATCTGTATCATCACTAACCTAGACTACATACTACAATCAGGCACTATCAATATATGTATTATTACGGACCTAGACTACTTACTACAATCATGCAGGCACTATATTTATATGTATTATTACTGACCTAGACCACATACTAAAGTCAAACACTATCAATATCTGTATTATTACTGACCTAGACTACATACTAAAGCCAAACACTATCAATATCTGTATCGTTTCTGACGTCTGGAAACAAACAATTCAGTTAGCTCAAAAGAGTGAGTCAGTCGAGTCTAAGATAGTTTTTCAGGCAATGTAACATTTGTCAGCTTCGTTTAGATTAAATTTCGAAAAACAAGAGCAATACCTCATATTTGATATTTCCCATTTTTTTTTTCAATAGGGTTCATCCTTGGGCGATGTTAAACATTTGGCAGAACCGAACCCATCACCAGTTCATTATATTCAACCCTTAGCCATACACTTCTTTCAAACGTTTTTTGGTTTTGTATACGGCTCTTCATGAAACATGAAAATTAATAATTCCGTCCCAATCTGCCACGAACTGTAAGAGTGTGTTCAAGCTTGAAATAGAACGCTTTTAAAAAAACAAGGAAAATAACTAATTACATATTTCTTAACACTTTTAATGAGGTTTCTAAATGTTTTTCTTTCAGGCAATGCAACATTTGTCAGCTTTGTATAAATTAAATTTCGAAAAACCAAGATACCCCATATTTGATATTTCCCATTTTTTTCAATAGGGTTCATCCTTGGGCGATGTTAAACATTTAGCAGAACCGAACCCATCACCAGTTCATTATATTCAACCCTTAGCCATACACTTCTTTCAAACGTTTTTTTTTTTTTTGTTTAGTGTACGGCTCTTCTTTAAGTGAAACAGAAAAGTAGAACGTTAAACTCCATGAAAATTAATAATTCTGTCCCAATCTGCCACGAACTGTAAGAGTGTGTTTAAGCTTGAAATAGAACGCTTTTCAAAAAACAAGAAAAATAACTAATTACATATTTGTCAACACTTTTAATGATGTTTCTAAATGGTTTTTATGAAGTGTTATGTTACTTTATCTAAATTTATCAATAATTGTTCCTTTTACATTTACTAGCTAAAGAATAAGTTATATTGTGATAGGGTCCATCGTTCGGTGATAATAAACAATTTCACCAAATTTCGTCCAAATCGTTAAGAATTGTGCCTTCTCGAGTATTTACAAGCTACAGACTGAACGCATTTTCATAACAATCAAAACATTGTAAATCCTATGATATTTCATTGATAATAATCACTCATATGATAATATACTGATCAAATTAGATGCTCAGTAGGAAGGCTTTGTTGTTTTCCTTGCAACAACAGCCCAAATATAGGAACAATGTCGACAAATCCTTCGATAATCAAAGGCCGCATTGATTCTATTTTTGGCTTTAGTTTTTATCACTAAAGTGTCGAGGTTCGCTTGAGTTCGTCATGTTGAAGGGCACCAGAAATCCCGAAACTTTATTATTCTTCTCCTACAATAGTTAGTCGCACCTTACACCTCAGGGGATGAAAACAAACCCACGCTGGGAACCAGGAATATACAGTATTATAGCTTGTAATTTAAAAATTCAATAAAAGTCTGTTAAAGTATAGCTTTAAAATGTATATATAAACGAATTGCTGACGCATTTCTTATGGTTCACAGCATACAGCGATTGTAGAAATGTTATGGACTGTGAAATTTAGCGCCAAAAATGCCCGAAAACCACAGTCACCGATATTAAATATGGCGGATATTTTCCTTAGCTAGGGATATTAAAATGCTTATTTTAGTGTGATAACAATGTGAAATGTGAAAAGTAGTTAATCTATAGTTAATTAGTCGCTCTAAACCGGCACCGTAATTGACGTTAATCCGTTGACGACATTAAAAATAAATATGGCACGTGCCGTGTTTAATTATCAAAGGAAACGATTAATCACTAATCCAATTTGAATATCGATGTAACACATCTTTTGAATTCAAAGGATCCCATCAGAGAGTTATGGCTTTTACTACTGAATGATAAACATTCCAAACATCACCACATTAATAATGTGAACATCTCAAAACTCCATTAAAAACTATATTAAATTTTTTGTTCTATTACGAACATTTCGTATACCATGTCACAGAAATTTGTAAATGCGGCGATATGATATGTTTGTACAATCAGAGTTCCGGAGAGAAAATATGTTAACACTATGCTACGTTTACAGTCATTCTGTCCAGGACTCTGATGTCGCATGAAAGCCTGTTTAAAACCGCGAATAGACGAGGTACGGGTCCGGCCTGGTGTATTGAGCGGAATAATCGATACAAACGAAAATGGAAGAAGTGACACGAGGTTCGGGTCCGGACACGGTGCTGACACGATTCGTTTCTTCTATTTTCTAATGTGTCGACAATCCTGCATCGGACGCCGTACCTCGTCTATTCCTACCTTAATACTTCGTTTTTTAGAGCGTTAGTAAAATTTATATATGTTTTTATTTGCAGGTTGACATGTTCGACCATCTTAAAGACAAGGGGTTTAATGTGTATTATAGTGCAATTTATACGTATTCCATACGCGCTAATACAACATTGCCAGCACATTTCCTAATTTATCACAAAGATGCCGAGTTTTTATTTCATGTGGTCGTGTTTTATAAAAGACATAAAAACTTTATGTGGTGTGATAAACTGCAAAAAGAAATGTTAATAGAAAAAATAAAACAAGACAATTTAAAGGTTTTTAACAAAAGTTTATCTGAAGTGCTGGATAAGCTACACTTTGGGAAATACGCATTTAGCTTTAAAAGGTGTGTTTATGTAGGAACCAAAATATACTATTAAAGATGGGTTCCCTTATTTTCATTTATGAAAATAAAAATGCTAATACTTATATGAATAGAATGTAGAAGTGTTCTAATGACTAGAAAGTAGAGGTGTTCTAATGACTTGGAAATTTAACATTTATATCACATGTCCATAATTAATTCATAATGAACTAGAGAAATACCAGCAGAATTTTAATGAGTGACCGATCCAGACTGTATATATATGGACATTTATGATTCTTGATTATATGCAATAAGAACATAATGATATGATTAAGAATACATGATTATTCATTAGAGCCACCAATTAATCAAATAATTTGCTTAATTTGACACCAGAAAATAAGGAAACCCATCTTAAAGGTATTACGGAGTAAGTGAATTAAAGCAAGCTTGACCTTTTCTGGAATCATACAAAGCGAAATGGGAAATGGGATGAATTTGAATTCCACGCCCTACTTTTATTTTCTTATTTGGCGAATGCATATGATCAAAAGCCAACACTTCAAAGCCTTTTTGGACACAATGATATGCACTGAGGGAATATTGCCAATACAGCTTCATCTTCTCACTCACTCTCGATCCACCTGCAAAATGTATATACTAGCATATCCAGGTTCCATATACATTAGAGCGTACTGATTTCAAATTTTCCCCTGCACAATAAGTGGCTCCAATCAAATTGCTTCTATGATACAAGAATCGTGACTATTGCAGTCAAGGTATAAATACGAAGTCAAGGTAAAGATGATGGATGTATAGAGCTTTCTCAATTTTCTATGTGTCTCGGGGACACTGTTAGCGTCGAATTGCACTATTTTAAAAAAACCTCTTTACAATCCCTTGAACTATGCAATTCAATGTTGTTGTTAATATCCATATTACATTTTTCACTTTCTAGTATTAACACAACTATGGGAACTTCACACAACATCAACTTTTTAATTCCTGAAAACGGTGAACAATTCCTGAAAGACTATCGTGAACCTGAATTCATAGAATGTAACTATACCAGAGCAAATTTTTATTATAAAAATTATGAAATTTCCAAAAAGCTCACAACTTGGATGTCAAAGGCTGTTAAAATGATAGAAAAAATCGGAGAAGCTTTGGACAAGCATGGTGTTCCTTTTACCATAGCCGAGGGCACATTATTAGGTATGATTAACTGATAACCATATACATGTATACATGTTGTTTTTCCTATTACAGCAACCTGGTTCTGGCCGAAAGAAACAATTCAATGTTACAATGATACCTCTCAACATATATACAGTGGCTCAATTAACATATGGACTGGTTGAACCAAGTACACGACCCCCATCCCTAAGGTTGCCCCAACTCCAGAATAGATACAATATCAGAAATAAATGTACCAAAGTATATAATTGTATTCAAACTAAGCAACAAGTAATATAAAATGAATGAAAAAAAATTAACTACAGACTGAGTTCGAGAGTTTCATACAGAAAACCCTCCAGCTTTCTCAGAAGGCAAACCAGCACTATCAACATTCGTGGTTCCGCCCAGCCTAATTCCAATAAGAATAAATTACAATAGCCCTCTCCAAAGCCCCCACCCCTTTTATGAAGACATTAAAGTAAAAGGCACAGTGTACAGTGGAAAACAGGAGGTTCATTCTGGTTCTGTGGCGGAGAGAACCCCTTAACCACCTCTTCGCAACCCCGAAAGCAAGTTTTTCGGGCAAAAATCTGATAACTAGGTTAGAAATTCGGGCAATCTCAGGTATTTTGTTCCTGTTCTGGTTATTTGATTATAGAGGGAGAAAGCCTCTGAAATGTATTTCCCACTCCAAAGTTCTGCATCTGCCACTGAATGCTTGACAATGTAGATTATTTATCTCGATCGTCGTCGTTTGTTTTAGGTTGGTACAGACAGTGTGGAATTATAACACATACAACAGATTTGGATGTTTTGATATTAAGAAAAGACTATACCGAAAACATCCTTAAAAGTTTAAAGAAGATAGGATTTTCTCATACACAAACTTTTGGAAAAGTAAGTATAACTGCTATTTTATACATGTATTCGATTCGTTTTATTTTCGTCTGGGGCTATAGGCCAGTGTCTAGACTTCCTTAGGGACTGGTCGAACAAAGTCCACGAGCCCCCACTCCCAGAAAAAAATGAAGGAGAGCATAATAATGTTTAAAAAAAAGATTTTATGGGACGGAACCCCAACCCACTTAAGTCCACATGTCCCCACTCATTTAGATGACATAAAGCTTAAAGATTAATTTGACGTAGTACTGAATGTCCGACATACACAGTTTCCATTACTCTATTTATTTTATCAAAAGTCAAATAGACTGATCGTGGTTAAGTTAAGAATCGGAGGGATTTATCGCCTTATGGTCAATATTGTTATCTGATACTGTTATAGAATTATTTATTTGTATTGTTTATCAGCGCCTATCACAAATTAAGGCGGCTCCACTCTGGAGCTTCATCTTCACAGTGGTCAAGGTATTCTTGTATGTGTAAGTTTGGTCATTTTGCCCCCATTACCCCTCACTTTGATGCTGCTACTGTCTTTTAATTTCTCGAAATTTCTTTTATTATTTTTCAGCTGAACGATAGCTACGAATATTCATTCAGATGGTCGGGCGTGAAATTGGATGTATTTTTTGCATATAAAGAAAATGATACATGGTGGTTAGGAGGAACGAATGGAAAGAAGAAGTTGAGGTTTGTATTCATCTCTCCCATTCAGGGACGTATCAGGAAAATGGCCTTCCTCCCCTACTGTTCCCAGACTCAAATTACTTGCGTAAGTTATGAAGATCAATCTGAATCATCTGATTGGAAGGAAGCACGTTGATTGACATATCTTGTAGGATTTTACTACATCATCCATGAAAGCCGGAAATCATTCAAACTACTTCTAGAAAAGCCACTTCCCAGTCTATTCCAGTATAAGATTTTTGGAATGTGACTAAGAGCACGATAGAAATATGATAAGAGCCCAAGGTCCCCTGAAGCCAGGGGTCTGGGAGCTGCCACAGGCCCCAGGGAATCCATAGTATTTCAAATGGCCTGAGAGGAATTTTGAACATTTAGATGGCTTAATTTTCAGCTGAAAATAATGCCGGGAGAGGCCAAGGCCCACATTCCATATTATGACCCTCTCCCTAAAAACAGTACTGTTCCCATCCTACGAATTGAATGTGAGCCCATCTTGATGCCCCTACTCGCCCTACTCTATTGATTCATGCAAAAGCCACTGTTAAAGGGATACTACGTCTTTGGATGAACATAAAATTTTAATTTTGCTCAAATTTGCCCAATAACAGTATATATCCATCAGTGGACTTACCTGCTGTCCTAACTATACATCAAAATCCCTCTATAATCCGATATATCCACAAAATCAAGTAATTGATTATAAAACGCTTAATACATCCATTAAGCGATTTTCAAATCGTGAGTCTAGGAAATCCGGTGTAATTTTCAAGGGGAGTGGGGTTTCCCGCGACCTTGACCTCTACTCCTGAATTGACCTCGACATTGTCATATTTTGAAGACGGAAAAATGATGCCTCGTAGGAGATTAAGCGACTCCGCGAAAAAGCAATTCATATAATTTAGATTGAATACTCCACCACTGACACAATTTTCAACGAATATTAATCATTGGCAAAGTTTGTTTGTATACACCGGAAGATGATTGTTTCCTGTTTTAGCGTTGTTTACCCAGACTCTTGTTTTCTCAAACTGAACGGATTCATGGCTTGCTAACTCTTTTTTAAAATTATGATAATAGTTTTATTGCCGTTTTTTCAAATTTGATAAAGTGTGGGATGCATACTTATTTAACCAGTGGTCACTATTAAACACAAATATTAGCCACAGGGCGAGTGTATTCTAAGACGTAGTATCACTTTAAGTTCTCGATCAAGACCTATAAATCCAGTAGAGGCTATATGATTTCAAGCTTCTCCATGTACATGTTTCTTTATTCACATCTAACCGTTGCTTGAACAATCCCATATTCTCGTCATAAGATACTAATTGTATTCAATCAGGAATCTCGTATTATCTTGAGGACAGTGTCATAAAAATGACGGCCTTCATTGAATCGTCGGAAACAGTTGCAGATTCGCACTAGCCCACTTGTCGATCAGTGATCGATCTGAAACTTGACAGAAAGGTACTTACACGTGTCCTTGATATTCATCAAAAATTTCAGAAAATTCTATCGGTTCCTTCTATTATGCATTAATTTTCAAAGTTTTCAGGTGGAATTGTTGCCGGTTATGAGGAAATAAGAGAAGGCATAACTAATTTGTGTACGTGTAATACTCCATGTAATACATGTACTATTACTCGGCTCAAGTACTGGATGTCATCTACCTACCTACCTAATGGATGTCAAAATAAGCTTGATATTCTGATGGTCTCAAAAACATTTAGTTTTTAAAAGGGATATCCCCGGATTTAAATTCAATTAAAATGTTTTTCATAAATGTTCTATCCATTTTGTTTTATTTTTAAAGGTTTACTATACCAAAGTTTAAAAATTGCTGGTCAGAATTAATGGGTGTTCGGGTTCGAGTCCCGTGTAATGCTGGCGAATATATCAAAAAATCATATGGAGAAAATTGGTATAAACCGATCAAGAAGTGGAATTGGGCAAGTGATGCTACGAACAGTAAAGTTGTTGGGAGGTGGAAGCGATCGATTTCCTGGATCAAGAGACATTGCATCTTCTGTTGATGCCTTTAGATGTGCCTGTCAAATTAGATTGATAATCGGAATTGACAGAGCGCTAGTCATGCCGTAATTTTTCTTAAGCTAAGTGAATGGAAGATTATTTTTTGTATTCTTGGGCGAGTCTCTTTACTTCCGGTATTTTTTTTTACAATGAACTGCCATGTGAAATTGCGAACATCGGGTGTAGTCCATGCCGCGTATTTTCAAAACGATCTTAGCGCTAGGATATCCTAGAAACAGTGTTGAAAAGAAATTAAATACCCCGTTCTAGGACATCCTAGCGCTGAGATCGTTTCGAAAATACTGGCCATATATTTTGAGCCTTGGAGATTATTTTGAATATTACTTATGCATTTAATGCTATATTGTGACTATCGGTTTACCAATTATGCATCTTATTGTTATTTGTAATCCATTTTGTACGATCTTTTGTGTTTTATTGGCTTTGTTTAGTATAGTCTATCAAAGGTATGTCTGCTCATCCGGGTCTGATTCAATACGGGCACAATCCACTTTATTTTTAGGTTGAATAAAGAGCAAGTTACAATGTGTTGATTACTACTAAAACTAAACCTAAGAATAAAATGGACTGCTCGTGTTTTTTATAACATAATATTAAATAACCTTTACCTGACTAAATTAGTGGTGGGCATCACCGTAATTTTCGAATTGTTAGTATCATGTGACTCTGTGACCTTTGAACCTTTTTTTTGCGTTAAATGGCCGATGCGACATCAGTTTCGTTTTAAAAAAAAATGGTGTAGGGAGAAAATGATGCTTTGACTCAACTTCAAACTTATACATCTTTCCATTCATCATTTTTCTGTCTCTGCATTAGCCGACATCTGTCCAAATAGCTATCAGAGGCCTGAATAGAGACAGATATTTCGTTCTAATTTTGGATCAGACCTTGATGAATAGAAATATCTTGATGAATAGAAATATGTTTGGCTAAGGTTCCAAACGATCTAACTCGTTTTTTACAAGTGTTCTAGATAAAGTACAGGCAAACTATGTCTGCCATTAAAGTCTGTGATTGTAGCAGAACCGGGACGCTTTAAGCGCGGCCGTTCATTTTTGAGTGATTTTATTATTCATTAAACGTACTCTATAGTAACTGTACGATTCTAAATTTACATAAAAGTAAACTACATCTGTGTGTGCCAGGATCAAATCCTTAAAGTTACGAACTCTTTTTCACAAGTTTTTCATCAAGATCGCTCATTATTTATAACAGTTTCATATTTGAATTAACGCTTAAAGTACCTCTCATCTTCTCAATGGCAAGCTATTACAAACTTCGTCTTATACCTTGGTTGCAATAGCCACTATTGTTATATATTTAATTTAACGCTTTTCGTATAACCCGTTTGCAGAATGGCGGTGTTGTTGTGGTACATCTTTTGGAAATCAGTTTGTTATTTTTTTTACAATAACAGATTATATTTTCACTGTTTAAAAAGTACTCAATACATCAAATGTAGAGAATTATAGAAATATTTGGAAATCGCACAGCCTGAAACTGAGTAACAACATGTCTCAGATTCTGTTTGAATATTTCTATGTGTCTATTATATTATCATTATTTTATAAGGAGATTGATGTGCGATTATTTAATTTATTTTTTTAACTTCACCATGATCTCAATTCTTCCAATGAGGTACATTCCATTTTATTCCATTGATAACAATCGCGTGTATTTATTCTTTTTTTATTTGAGTGAGTATATGTAAATATCTTATTTATATTGATTTATAACGCTTTGTGCAATATTCAATCTGTATTACAATAAATATGTGCAGTGTGCAGTTCAATTCAGCTGAAAGAGTTCATAATTTGTCTATTTTAACAGGCTAGCGATATTTTCACGGATGGTATCAGATTTATATTTCCTACAGACGGAATTAAATGGCGCCTTGTCCCGTGACCGATGTGATCGACGATCGGACTCGTGTGAGCCAAAGATGTCTTGACGAATGCCAAGATGCGAATTACATTTCGACTTGATATAGTCAAAAGTCATTTAAAGCTATCATGCTCTCCGAAGGCCAAAATTAATTATCAAAAAAAAAATTTGAGACTGCCTGTTTTCGAACTATAATGTCGCTTATAACCTCATTCAGGAAACAAATAACCTTGAAACTAGCAAATCTTTCAAAACAATGAAAGAAAAAATTTCACTGTAGTTAAGGCAGGATAGCTTTAACCCGCGATTTGTTGTTGATCGATCATATCATATTAAATCTGTGGGGTAATTGCATCAATGAGACTGTGGTGTTTCAGTGCCGAAATGGTGGAAATGGTGTTAAAACTGTAGATCCAGGCAAGATAACAAGGATTATAGGGAAATTTGGCCTATAAAAATTGTGACATTTGGTAGGCTAATAACTAAAATCCGCCATTTTGCATATGTAAATAATATTTTAAATAATAAATTTGACATTGCTTTGAAACGATAGAAAAAAAATCTGCAGGTTAAAGTTGTTGAGATAATCCATGTTTATCAAGACATGCAAATGCGGAGGTCACGCGAGGTCGCACATGTAAATTATTTAGCATTTCCGGAGATACACGAAATTAGGTTAGCACGAAATTAGGTCACTGTAATTAAGTAGGCTAATTAGGTCATAACAGCTGCGTTACTGTAATTCCTATCGAAGTGAGAGAATTGCAGAGAATGAGAACCATAAAAGAATTTAGTCAATTTAAATTAAAGCGTTTAAAACATCAACAAATTTGTAGACTATTTGCGCTCCATAAAAACAATTATCCTTAGTTGGTGTCGATTTGGCTTTCCGGTGTGGTCGACATGTCCAATCTACCTGTGTTCGGACGAGAAGCCCTCGTAAATTCAAGATGGCGGCCTCCATGTTTAGAGTTTTGGGAAAACAAATCTTGAAAAGGCCGTTTGGTTTGCTGTCCTACACTGAACAAACGACATGTTGGTATTAGATTTTCACGTTTCGTTTAAGAAATAATCTGATACTTGTATTATTGTACGCAGTTATGTGTATTTGAAATTTCAGTCACCTTTAGCGCTTGTCTTTTAACAACCGACCAGTTGTGCATTTTTATTTCTATTTATTTGACCAGTATAATCTAATATTATTTTGAAGCTGGTTCATAATGCCTCTCAAACTACTGAAACATACAGCTTTAAATTTCATCTTGAATGAAAATAATTTTAACTTTGAGTGTAAGTTGCAGACTTGAAAACAAATTTTCTTGAAGCGGTCGAGCTCCTTTTTCACTATTTTGCACTAAATAACGAAAAGTGATCACTGCTAAATTGGCCTATCTACCGTAAAAAAAACTATGAATTATTTCAGACTGGAATATGAACTTTAGGGAGTGATTTTGAGTAGAACATCTATATACCTACTGTACTGATTCTCTTCAAGAAGACAGTATCACTTTAAAGTTTTTTTTTTTTTTTAAATTCTCAATTTTTTGTTCAGGTTCATCTCTAGTTATTCACAAAAAATATGGTACCAAAACATTAAAGTACAATGTAAGCTCCCTGTCGGAAGCTGGGGATGTCAAACTACCCTCACAATATCAAGATCCCAATTTTGATTATAAAAAAGTGACATTTTCTCCTGAAGATGTTGAGAAACTTTTGAAACAGATGGAATCAGATGAGGTAGAGATTGTTTTTCAACTATTCCAAATATTCATACTGTGGGAGGAAAAAACTGCAAACAACAATCAAAACTGCAAACATTTTAGCAATACATTGGTAGAAGCTAATAAAATTATTCATATGAAGAGGTATATCAATCATAAATGAAATCATAGCTCTCTGCCTCTTGAAGTAAGTCAGTTACATTGCTGTTTATTGGAAGTGCCTTATATGTATGGGAAGTAAACTTTTTGATTATTTTAAAACCTCTCTCAATTCACTGCTTATATATATATTTTTATTCTTTTGAATTATTATATTCTATTTTATTCTATTTTACAGCCATTACTTACAATGGAAGATCCATATGCTGCTAAACCTAGAAGATGTATTTTATGTAAATATAATGTTGATATTGATTATAAGGTAGGCTTGAGAGTGATGTGATCAAACAGAATCTGATATTACTGATTTTGTTACAATGGATTACATGAAAATCACCTTGAATGCTGACTGTAGTGTAGTCAATTCAGTTAGTATGTTTGTCAATCAGTGATGAACTGGACAACAAATTTCCTTTAACAAACTGTATTGGAAGTTAAAATGTTAAGATATATAGACATTACATGACAACTAGTAACATGAATTCAGACTTTGCCTTGAAGTTTATTAAAAGATATAATTAATAAAGAAGCACAAGATATTTGGATAGAGTATTTCTAACATTTATTAACTTAAAGTTTCACATACATTAATTGTATTTTCTATTCTACGCTGTCTGTATGAGATTGTGAAACATTGAATAATTGTTAGAAATAGTATATCCATATATCTTGGGCTTATTTTCCTATGCCTATTTCTTTATGTCTTATAAACAGTTTTAATATTTCAGAATGCCCAGTTATTGAGTCAGTTTGTATCACCACATACAGGAAGAATCTATGGTAGAAGAGTAACTGGATTGTGTATACCCATGCAAAAACGAATAGCAAAACTTATTAAAAGAGCTAGAATATTTGGTAATGGTTTTTATCTTATGTGTATTAGTATCATTAGTGTAAAGGAATTTCTATAGCTATGTAATAAGTCGTTTGGTTTTGTGGAATTGCAAGAACCACCGACATCTAACTAAATTGGATTTATTTGAATTAATAATAGTCTCCTCAATACACATAAAAAGATCTGAAATCCTTGTTAAGTCCCTTTAACAAGCCTAAAATCAATGATTATTTTTGCCTTTGATTTATTGACATGGTGTTTTCAATACTTGCATTATTTATGGCTGATCTTTTAGATAATTGGATAAATATCTGAGAGAAAAGAGTGGGAATTTTGACTAAAAAATTAACCCAGCAATGAGAAAAAAATCTTTTTCACTTTTTGAGGCCCCTGATTTATAACATTTGTATTGGACTGTGAAAGGAGATCTGACGCGAACCTGTAGCAGGCATGTCTATCTATCTCATCATTATTTTCTTTTCAGCCTTTATGCCTTACTTAAATAAAGATGTGGAATTTTACGAAGATGATAAACTAGTAGAGTATAATAAACCATCTCAAAAACATTTCTGAAAACTTAGTGTAGTTAAACATTGTATGGAACATTTAAAGTTAGTTGGGAGTAGTGAACTTGGCTATGGCTTGAGAAAGATGTTCGAATTTGATAGAAATGTGATGCCATTGACAACTTCATAATAATAAGTTGAAGTTAGCCAATCACTGGAATTGTTTGTTTAAAACCAGAAAATGTAAATCATGTGGTCAACTTATGTTGAAGCAAATAAGAAGATGTTAACCTCTTCAAAGAAAATAATATGAACCTTCTCATCAAACAGTCCAAATTGCATTACCTTATCATGTATACCCATCAGATTTAAGGGAAAGGCATGCAGATATTTTTCGAATTATGAAATGAAAGGAGTTTTATTTCCTGCCATTCTGCACCATATGGGCTAATGAAGATGGATGGAATTAAGTCTCAGTTGTGCCACAGATTCAAGATCCCAAAACTTTGAAAATCAAAAGCAATAGACTGACAACATGTTATTTCCCAGATTTGAAATGGGCATAATCAGCAGGTTTTAAACCATTTATTTCATATATCTGGTGTGTGAATGATCAAAAGTGCTAATTGAATGTTATGTAATAAAATTTTATATAATACTTTGTGTTCTCCAAGGCTACATTTATAAACAAGGGAGGCAACTACATACAACATTTAACAAAAGCAGGAAATTCTTTAACACTTCACTCTCTCTTCCCTGTCAGTAAGGGACACTAAGGATCCATTAACAATTGAAAATCAAAAAAGTAGTCTTATGCCTTTAAAGTTGAGCTTTTATTTTCATTTTATTTGAATGTAATAAATAACTTTATGCCATTGGCTATATTGTTATACTACTTTTTGCTGAACCTGTATGATCAGAATAAATAATCAGGAGAAAATCTCATCCAAAACTGATAAATCAGGTTTATGTTTCTTAGCTTTATCTACAGAATTTTGCTGTTTTTTCAGTTCACTGTCAATATTTTTGTGGGTATCAGACAAATTCGGTCTTTGATTTTTCTTATCACTATTTGTCATGTTTTGATTATCATCACTACCAGCACTCAAATCACTAAATATATCAGGACTATCTGTGTCACGTTTATAAGGGGAAGAGGAAGAGGTATTAGGATCGGAAGGTCTCTCCTTTGAAGAAATGTTCAGCTTTCTTCTTTTACTGTTCCTATTCTTCTTTTGTTCCAGATCAGTAATTATCTCTCCTCTTCCAGCCTGAAAAAAAAGAATTTTACATACTAAATGAACAAATGACACAAGTGCTGTAAAAATGGCTATCACAGTTTGGGTGAGATTCAGCAAGTTTGGTCTAACTTTTACCTTTCTTCACCCCATAAAAACATGTTGCGGTGACATGAATATTTTCACTAATTAAATTATACAGAGGAAATTTCCAAATAGTTTGGGTGACAAAAAAAGTCTATTCACCTGTACTAATAACTCTTTCGCTGTATCCAGCAGTTCCTTTTCTGATAAGAAATAAACTGTTTGACGCAGCCTGTCAAACAGAAAAATTCATATTTTAAGATTTCCTTAAAAAAAAAAGGGGGTACATACCATTACATTAGTAATCTTTTGTGCCATCTGAAAGGAATAGGCTCAATATCTCAATATCTAACTTGCTGATAAACTGGGAATAACCACTGTCCAAATCGTTTTCAACTAGACAATGAACCAAATGTAAAACAAACTTGTCATATCATACCCAAGTTTCGGTGCTTCGGTTTCAGATTCTTTAACTTGTGTTTTGTCCTTCTTTTCATTTGAGGATTTCAACATCCATTTCGGCAGTGGCTTTGAATTTTTTGCCATGTTATGTTTGATTTTCTGTCATATACACCATCCTCTAGGCTTCTACCAGTACTGCTTTTAAGTGCTTAAAAATAAAATCACATTTTATGATTTTATTTTCATGTGTAGCAAAAACTCATTTTGTTTTAATCCTACCATATGGTTTAAATTTAAAGGTAATACACTTAACCAATATCAACTACCAAACCAACAGCACAGAATCATCCAATCCAACTACCAACACTATGTCCACCAACAACTACTTATTTTGCGATATCAGCATCTGATAGAAGTGGAGACTGTCATGTACCACCCAAATAAACCAATAAAAGCAATTTATCACATATTACAATTATCATTCAGACTTTTGCAACACCTACACTACCCTATCTGCTTTCTACAATATATGATTGCAAGAAGTTTATAAGTAGTAACTAGAATGTTGAGTTAGTATGAGGTTCTATATAATATGTGGCTGGCAGGCCCATAGCTAGAGGGGAGCTTCAAAAGATTTGCCCCCTGGGCTAGCTATGGGCCTGATTTTGGTTACCTGTGGTTGCCTTTACATTAAAATGGTTTAATATATTAATGATACAACTGCTGTAGGCTACTTGAAAAACTAGCCAATTAGCATCGGTAAGTTTAAGGATATGTGATGCAAAGTCTTTTATAATGTAAAAGAAAGAAAACAAAATTAAAGGAACTAATCCCTTAACAGCGGCATAATTGTCCTATCTTACCAAGGCAGTGTACTGTATGCCTACAAAACTACACGTTAACTTTCAATCGAAAGGGTCTAGGTGCAGTCTGTTCCATTCAATTAGCCCATTGTCAATCGTGTGATATACTATCGTTTAATCGATGCATTTCCTTGTATTTAATTTTTATATCGTAATTATAAAGCCGAATAATAGAACGAACTTTCGTTCGATTACTTCACCTACTAGGAAATGACGGGAGCTGACATTTCAAAATGGATATGGTGATCGCAACTTTGAAGACTGCCGAAACGCACTGGACTTTGCAAGTAGATAGTCTTGTTTGGATATAATTAAAAAAACATACAAAATATGAAAAAGTCTACCGAACCAATGTGAAAAGATCCCAATAACAGATCTAAATTGCATTTAAATGACAGTTATTTTTCGTACAAAAAATGCTCCCTTAGCACGCGTAGAGGTAAAGAAATAAATTTACGAGTGTATACGAATTCTAATTTCGGAAATTTCGTAGGTATTCTTTGAAAACAACTTGTGACAACCTATAAGCATTGTTTCCTATTGAATTTGCAGCTATTTAAGAGCAGTTTTAATGCATTTACTGCTGAGATTGTCGAGAAATTCGACTAAAACGCTCGATCGAAATAATTTCGATCTTACAAATTCTAAACAGTGAATAATGGCCGACGACTTTGTTGACCTAGAAAAAATAGTGCCGAAATCAATCTCAAAAACTCTGTTTTAGGACTGACATGATCGTTCTTGTATTTTGAAAAATGAAATTTGGTAGTTCTAGCCCATTTATTATTTTCAAATTATCCGATAAACCACGCAAGTGAAATTTATCGGCTGAAAAAGACCTGCAAGCATAAAAGAAAAGAGGTCTATCTCGCAAGGTCAAGGTCAATTGATAATTTTATTTGGTTATATTGCCAGCCATTCAGCCAGTCATGCATGGCATGAGTTTCAAAATGTTGTATGATATTGATCATAAGGACTTTTTTTATATATGAAAAAAAAAACAAACATTTATATGGATTGATTAAAAAGGAAAGCCTACTTTGTTTTTGGGAACCACAATGGCTCAGTGAGTTAAATGCTTGATCGCTAACATGAAGGTTCAAGGTTCAATCATGGCATAGATTGGGATAATACCTTCCGATGTTTTTTTTACACGGTTTCCCCCTGTCAGTGATGCAGGGCTGATTATGGACAATAAACAACGACCCTGTGTAATACACGCTGTGCATGAAAATGGAAAAAGAGTACCCAAATGCTGCTGTCCTGGCAAAATTTCCCTCATGGCACTCCACATAGCCATGTCTGTCTTCATTAGCTCAATTAGGTGCAGAAGAGTAAGATGTGTAAAACTCCATTCATTTAAAAAAAAATTATTTTCTTTTTCAGTATTGAAGTACTGACCAACATGGATCTAGCTACAGAAAAGATTTTCAAGTCAACACTTGTCAAGGATTTACAGTATCTGTGTGCCGGGTTAGTTCCCTTTCAATCCAATATAGAAATCATAGGACATATTTTTATGAGAGTTGATAATTCAAAAAAATATAATTATTTTCTTGAAGAAAATATAGTAAAAACTGAACTACATGGAACATTATTGAGTAGTAGAACTTTTTCAGCCAGACCCGATTCCAGTGATATGGTCATTTCTAATATATTTACTGGACTCCCAGATGAACAATCAATCACAAATAAAACTTATAACACAAATCTTTCATCTCCTGACCCGGAAGGACAAACAAAAATCATGCCAGTACCAGAGCCAGTATCTTTGAAAATGCCACTCTCAGGAATGGTGCAAATGCCAGTGCTAGGATCTGGTCAAGTACAACTTCCAGGAATTGTAAATGTGTCAGTGCCAGACTCTGTGCAAGTTCCAGACTCTGGAATGGTACAAGTTCCAGGTTCTGGAATGATACAAGTGCCAGGTTCTGGGAATGTTTCTGTACCAGATTGGGCTCCTACGGTTCAAATTCAAAATGTTAAATCTCTAGCCCCTGGTTCTTTACATAGTCAGAACAATATAGATTCCTTTCCAGTGTCTCAAATCAATATTCAGTTGTCTAAGTCAGAAGCAAGTACTAGTTCACATGATGCCATATTCCATGGAACTGGAAATGTTATACAGGAACAAAATAATCAAGTGAAAATACCATCAGAAAATACATCTCAATCAGCCAGTGATATTTTAAAGGGTGTCAGAATCAAAACAGAACCCAAGGATGATGTGGAGTACCCTGCTTCACCCCATATCACTGTACCCCCAGTAGCATCAACAAGTCAAGTTGGGCAGAAAAAGAAAAGGAAGACCAATCATGCCACAAGAATGGAACTGGAGCCATTTATAAATAAAGAAGCTGAAACAGGAAGAAAGAAACCGAGAATAATAAAACCTAGACCTATTCCCAAGCCTAAGCCAACACCAGTAGTTAGTGATGTAGATGAAGGTTCTCAATGTAAGTTTAAAGGGATTGTAAAGAGGTTTTCTAACTTTTTTCAATTTTCAATCTGATGTCTGTTGTTCTTGCAATTTAACTAGTACTAAGTGTTAAATGATGTCACTAATTAAGGACCTAATGTGATAAAGCAAATTTCGTGATTAGTGACATCATCAAACACACTTTTTGTGGAATTGCAAGAATCACAGAGGTCTAATTGAAATTTGAATAGTGCTGCAAATTGATGCTATCATTGTCCCCGATACACATGAAAAATTTAGAAAACCTCTTTACAATCCCTTTAAGATGTTCAGTTTATAAAGCATCTATGTAATAGAAAGCATTGTGCATCAAAGACTGAAATAGTTAATTTTTTTACAACTTTACAAACTAAAAACAAATGTAAAATTCCATGCCCATTAATAATAGCACTCATTTATAATCAAGAGCATTTTATATTTAGATACAAGCTTATATTTTACTTTAAAGTTATGGAATCTAACTTGACTAATGAAAACTTAATTAAATGTCTTGTCATAAAACTACTGGTTTTAATTGATAGATTTCCTCAATAAACAATGTGCAGTAATAGTCATATTATGAAACAAGCATGTAAATCTCTTGAGAGTCATAGTTGCAAGTCAGAAAAATTTGTTCATATAATTTGCAGCATCAAGTGGAGATTTTGTGGATGTACCAGTCCATTTTGGAGAGTTAACACCTGAATCTACAACAGAAGAAGATGAAATATTCCCAGTTACGATGTTAAAAAACCTCTCTGGGTTTGAAGAGGCATGTAATCAATCAGGTATGGATCTCAGCTTTTCCTCTTATGTATAAGTGTGTTTGCAGTGAGGCTGGGGGTACAAATAGGGGCAGACTGTCGAGGCTGAGATTAAAAATGTTGCACCTTTGTGGAAGCACCATAGCCACAAGCTTCCCATGAAGTGTCTGAGAGGGTTTTTTCCCAAGAAATGATTTGATAAATAGACTGATCTAATATTTGGTCAAAAAAATCAAAAAATCTAGAGAAGTGGGGATACAATTTGGGGTACTGCCCAATGCCCCCTTCTGTACCCCAATTGGGGCCTCCAATGTGTTTGTGGAAACATCACTCTGATTACAATACAGATCTTGTTTCTTGTTGAGTTCTTCTGCAGGTTACATCACTTGCCATCCACAAAACAGTTAATGTTTAACAATGAATATCTCAGAAATTCCAACATATAGTTAGAAAATTTTATATCATATTGAAGGAGCGTTTGATTGGTTGAAAATGAACAATTTGGTCAGATAATGGATGGCTAGTGGAGTCACCTGCAAAAAAAAATGAAGCAAAATGTCTAGATTTGCTTTAAGCAAATTTCACAGAAACCTATTGAATATAGATACAAAATATCGTTATGATAATAATATTTGATCTAAACCTGAACATTAATTTGTGAAGTGAATTTAGTTTTTACATTAAGGTTAACGGCTGGAGTAATCCTTGTTTTATGAATTTTATTTGTTTTTCTGATTTATTAAAAAATTCATCATTGCCTATTGTTCATTTCTGCTTTTAGACTAAATTGTGGTCCAATTGGCCAATTACTTTAGTCACAGTTTTTGACTTTATTAATTTTATTTTCTGAACTAATATTATTAATTTTTAATGTAGGCTTTACAATATTTATTTTTTTAGTAGGCCTACTTTCATTTTATTTAGTTTTGTTTAAGACACGAATAAAGATGGGGTGGTTAAAAAAGATAAAGCCTTACTCAAATCTGTACTGTAAAGTTCAAATTGTATGAACCAACTCTTGGAAAAAATACTTTTTGGTATACCTTATTGGAAAGAATCAGGGTTTCTTATTTTCCTTAAATGCCAAATTTGGCTACTTTATTTCTTCTAACTACCCTTTCTGTTCTGTTCTGTTCAGTTAAAAAGATTCTGTTAAATTCCCAGACTGTTGGTAAAATTTGGCTTTTTCTCTTTCAGCCACACCCATCTTTAAGACTGAATGTCATTTCCCTTCCAAATCTATCATGCAAACATTGTTAACCCAGAAAAATGGATTTACCGTGACTAAAAGAGGACGTTATAAATCCTATAGCCAGATAGAAAAGCAGAACGCTGTCACCTCTGCTGAAATCTATGGTGTTAAGGCCACTTGTGAGAGATTAAATATACCAGCTAGTACTTTGTGTACATGGCGTTCATTATTAGGAACAAATAGAAAATCTTAGCATAGAGCTGTTTAAAGCTGTAGTTTGTAGAACTAAATCTTCACTTGCAGCTCAGGTAAATACAGTTAGTTCCAAGTAGGTTGCTTTTTGTTCAAGTCACAGGTGGCTGTGAAATTATATATCTACTGGAGATCCCACATATTTTAACATTTATATATTGGTAGATATGATTTCTCAAAATTGCTGTTTTTTTTTAGAGTATAATTGTTTATTTCTTGGATTTTGGATACATCTGTATGTATAATAGCATAGAACAGAACCTAGTCAACGATCAATGAGATATTAGTTCACTTTCTGGTAAAATGAAGTGATATAAAGTTTATTTCCCACTGTTATTTGGGTTATATTCTCTTACAAAGTTAAATTTAATGAAGGAAGCAGGAGACTCTTTGTACAATTTAATAGCTTATAGGGTTTGGTCTCAATAATGTTTTTTTGTCTATCAACTTATATCCAGTATAGTAATGAAGTAGTTATTAGTTGCTAACATTTATTGGGTTAGGTGCCAAAGATTAATATTGTCTTAGATACAGATGGAGATTCTGTGACCCTAGACGCTTTTTTTTTAAATTTAGGAAGAGTTACTTCTAGCTTAAAATGATTAAGACTTGTTTTTGACATTGTCTTTGTCCATTGTCTAATATTACACCACCACAATTATATTTATAAAGCTTATTATTATTTCTACATTGTATTTTTCAGTGGCTATCTTGAGTCAGAATCAAGCAATGAAAAAAGCATTCCAGGACCCAAGGAAGAGAGGAACGTATAATTTCTATACAGAGGAAGAGAAACAGAAAGCTATAGTCCTTGCTGGTCAATTTGGAGTCACTGCAATTTGTCAAAGGTTTGGCATACCTTTAAGTACATTATGGACTTGGAAAAAGACATATGAAAAGACTCAAAATCCACAGTATCAAATTGATAATGTAAAGGTAGAAGAAACATCGGATGACAAATTTTATGTTAAAAATTTAAACCTTAGACAGATACTGACTGGAAACGATACAAGGGAGGTAACTTCTCCTTTACCTTCAACCAGTGCAAAAAGATGAATGTGAAACACCATTGTCCTATTGGAATTATATATAGTGCTGAAATGCACTGAATGTGAATTTTAGAAGGAATATGTGATATTTGTAGTGTGTGTAAAGGAAAATGAGGAAGTGTTTTGAAAGAAGAAAGTCAACAAGAAATTCAATGAAAGCCGGGTGGTTTAAACCAGACCTCTTTCTAATAAATGAATTTCCATAAAGAAATAGTTTTGTATGAGGCAATAAAATTAAGCCTATCAAAATGACATATTTCCTCGGAAAGTAGTTGCCCAAATAGATTGTTCTCAATATGGGCTTGTCCTGTACCAATATATTGACAGGAGACAGCATTATTTGTCCTCAAATTATCTGACTCTTGTTCTCAAATATACATGGAAAAACTATTGTTTGTGATATATTGCAATTTATTATTTAAAAAACTGATAGAATAGATTAATGTCTGACTTCTATTCATAGGCCTGTAGCTGCAGGCTGTAATCACAGTCCACAAAATACAAACACTGGGATACAGGAACAAGGCACAGCCCACAAAATACATACACTGGGATACAGGAACAAGGCTCAGCCAAAAAAATACAAACACTGGGATACAGGAACAAGGCTCAACCCATAAAATATGAACACTGTGATACAGGAACAAGGCTAGGCCCACAAAATACAAACACTGGGATACAGGAACAAGGCTCAGCCCATAAAATATGATCACTGTGATACAGGAACTAGGGCACAAAATACAAACACTGGGATACAGCAACAAGGCTCAGCCCACAACATACAAACACTGGGATACAGGAACAAGGCACAGCCCACAAAATACAAACACTGGGATACAGGAACAAGGCACAGCCCACAAAATATGATCACTGCGATACAGGAACTAGGCACAGTCCACAAAATACAAACACTGGGATACAGCAACAAGGCTCAGCCCACAAAATACAAACACTGGGATACAGGAACAAGGCACAGCCCACAAAATACAAACAGTGGGATACAGGAACAAGGCTAAGCCCACAAAATATGATCACTGCGATACAGGAACTAGGCACAGCCTACAAAATACAAACACTGGGATACAGGAACAAGGCACAGCCTACAAAATACAAACACTGGGATACAGGAACAAGGCACAGCCCACAAAATATGATCACTGCGATACAGGAACTAGGCACAGCCGAAAAAATACAAACACCGGGATACAGGGAAAAGACACAGTCCAAACAAAACACAATAACTGGGATACAGGGAGAAGGCACAGACTAAATAAATACAAAAACTAAGATACAGGAAGAAGGCACAGCCAAAAAGGTACAAAAACTGGATGCAAGGGCAAGGCACAGTCGGAATAAATACAAAAACTGGTGTCAAGGACAAGGCGGTCTAAATAAATACAAAGTGGGATACAAGGCACAGTCCAATTAAGTACAAGAACAAGGATACAAGGACAAGAGATATATACACATATCGTAATATCCATTTAAACCAATATCGCTGAGCCCTGTACTTGCCCTTGAGTTTTACGTTATACTTTTCTGCACCATTATAACTTTATGTGTTTTGGATTATTGTTATCGATTTATAAGAATGTGAGTAAAATCAGTTTTGTTCTATATGATTTAAGTACTAACGATCCGAACCGCAATACCAAACCCGAAACCAAAAACAACATATTGGCGAAACATTGGAATCAATACATTTAAACGCATTTCAATACGCATGTATTTAGGCCTACGCATTATAAAATGTTGACAAGGAAAAGGCATCGTATTATACTCTGAAATCACTGATATATTAATACCCAAACACGAAACATATAACTTGTTTTTGTTTTGCCGGTTAGACCTGTCTTTCTAGTATATTAAATATTTCAATCATACATTTCCAGCTGTTTCTGTCGCCAACATCTATCATCAATCTTACCTTGACCTAGCGTTTGGGTGGTAGCCTATATTTTAATGAGGCCTACAGCTAAATATGATTTACCCTCTAAACATTCATTTCCCAGATTCACTATCATAATTGCATCGTAATTACACCGAATAAAAATCCGTACAAGCGAAACAATTACAGTAAGCAAAAATCTCGTTGAAAGCGGCAGCAATTATAGTAGTCTATAGGCCTATAGCGAACACCTCAAACGAGAAGAATTATAGTAGCCTATCGGCTCATTGTGGACACCCCAAACGAGAAGAATTATAGTAGCCTATAGGCCCATTGTGGACACCTCAAACGAGAAGAATTATAGTAGCCTATAGGCCCATTGTGGACACCTCAAACGAGAAGAATTATAGTAGTATAGGCCTATAGAGAACACCTCAAACGAGAAGAATTATAGTAGCCTATAGGCCCATTGTGGACACCTCAAACGAGAAGAATTATAGTAGTATAGGCCTATAGAGAACACCTCAAACGAGAAGAATTATAGTAGTATAGGCCTATAGAGAACACCTCAAACGAGAAGAATTATAGTAGTATAGGCCTATAGAGAACACCTCAAACGAGAAGAATTATAGTAGTATAGGCCTATAGAGAACACCTCAAACGAGAAGAATTATAGTAGTATAGGCCTATAGAGAACACCTCATGTACTATCAAGTGTTTCGAAAAGAGTAAGAGCAGTTTAAGTCTGACATATGTTAATGGTGTTTTTTATGAATATTGTTGTTTTTCTTTTTAAAATCTGTTATTTGTTTATTTTAAAATTTTCATTTTTCGTTAACACAAACACAAACAATATTTGTGTTTATCTTTGATACATTATCTCGTCACTATCTCCTATCCCAGTTTCTCATTCAGTGCTTGTTTTTAGTGTGGTAATGAACGAGAAAGCTGATGTGACTGCCATGCCAGGATTTACCACTTAACATCCTCATATTTACAATGGTCAAAGTATTACGTCTTCATTTCAATCTATGATTGCAATGGCTCACTTTCTTATGTCAATGTCAGCGATTGGATTGGATTGGATTGTATGCCAGCGAATACAGCCAATCAAAGCCCTCGGTTTCATGCGTCATTTTTGTTTTATTGAACAGTCTTTCTTTCGACGGCTTAAATTGACTGCATTTCAATCCAATCAAATTGCTACGTTCACAAACTTCCATGAGACCATTGGGGAAAGTCATGTTCCCTTAGCACGGTACGAAGATTATTCACGTGCTAAAGTAGTTCGAAACATCTGCCACTATTCCAGCCTCTGATGGATATTTTGACAGTTGTCAGCTGGGGTAGAGTCAGAAGAAAAAGATCCTGTTAAATGGGGATTTTCCACACCTCGAAAGATGCGTTTTCTCTAACATGATATTGAATTACCTTTAAGATGATTGTAAATTAGTGTTGGGCATCACTGTAACTCTCGTTTTGTTAGTATCACGTGACATGACTTTTGACCTTTTGGCTGCGCACGCCGTTTTAAATGACCGATGCTAAAAAAATAAATTTGATAGAACCGGAGACATGACATAAATGGTTTAGGGAGAAAATGATCGTATGACTTAACTACAAATATATTCATCTTTCCAAATATACCTGGGTTTTGCAGATACGAGATATCTAAATAGGTATTAAAAAACCCGCACCTGCGGAGATGTGGAATGTCTCCATTTAACAGGGCTTATTATTCCTGTCTCTACACCAGCTGACATCTGTCCAAATATCTGGAATAGAGACGGGTGTTTCGGTCTAGTGCCAAAGGAACATGTGGGAAAATGGGCCATTGCAGACAAGGCATAATATGGAGATGCGGAGATTCTTTGTCAACGGAGACAGCAAACGACGTTCTTGTTCATTTTCAGTAGCGTATCGAGGGTGTATCAAAATGCTGATTTCAAAAGGCAATTCTGTGGAGGGGTCTCGGTCGCAAACAATGGTCGACCTCCACCACAAATGATAATTTATTTGTCCGAGAGCTTGTGGATATAATGCTACATTAAAAGAAAATGCCACTATCGTATTCACAAACCAATTTTAATGTAGGCCTATTTTCTGAATATCGAGGGTTGTAATTATGTCATTTCGCACTAGAATCCAAACTTGTCGACGATCATGTAAATAAATCCACACTAAAATATTTATCAAAAATAGGGAAGTTTATCCCCCCTTCAATATTTCCTTTTCAACGAGTCCTCAATATATGTAAGGGGGCGGTAATGGACCCCCCGTCTGCCACCCCCGGATCCGATACCCCCAATTACCACTACCACCACCACCGATTTCATTACACTTGTGACAGGTCTATATACTCAGATATATTCCACTATAATCAATAAAAATAAAAAGATTATTTTTCTTTTTTAAGTAAATCTAGGCCAATAAAAAAAGTCGTAGAACGTAGACCTGTTAAACTATATCTATATACGTGTTTTTAGCCTAAGAAACTTGCGCAGTGGCTTCATGTAAGGAAGAAAATGTAACGGTGTGTAGAGAGAGTATTATAGGCCATATCGTGCTGAGAGTGTTTTTTAACCACCCTTTTGTAAGGACGGTTGAAATAAAACAACAACCCTTCAGTAAACCATAATAAAACACGCCAAGGCCTATTGGTGTATTTTACAGGTGAATTTGTGTGCGAAGTGAAGGAAAAAGTGGTTGATTACAAATAACATAATAACCTGTAAAGCTTGATTGTAACAGCATAATATTTAGTGTAAAAAAAGAAACTTTGAAAATGCTTACGTATCGTAGAGGATTGTTTGTTGTATGTGTGTTTTCAATGCTCGGTGTTGTATGTTATGTCATGGACGTCGCTACAATAATATCGGTAAGAGTTCTGTTATGTTTTTGTATGTTCATTACGTATATAGATTGCACTTATCGATGAATTGATTGTTAGCTAGTTAGCTTTACTTTTTCATTAGTGAAACATTAATGAAATATTAAGTTATGTTTGATGTACATGTACTTCCTCATGTGAAGCTGCTACCAATGTTTTGTGGATTTCGGGATTCGTTTTGTAGTTTATTAGTTTCTACTATGATGTATTCTCATGGTCTTGTAAATTG